TAAGACTTTCCAAAGACATAGCCAGCCCTATCTGTTGTCCGACCTGCATAAATGTGCGAACGTTGAAGGCAGCCAGTTTGAATGATGCACGTGGTTTCAGAAAATCTGCTTCAGTCCTCGTATTCGGTGGTAACATACAATTTACAACCGGACAGTGACTCGAGAACGTTTAGATACAGTCGGAATTCCACCAAAGACGAGCCGCTGTATAAGTATAAAAGAGGGTGAATAATGTGGAAAATAATAATAATAATAACAACAATAATGACAATAATAGTAGTAATAATAATAATAGTATTAATAATGACAATAATTGCCCACCACCACTTTCCATCGAACTCTGTTCTGGGCAGTTTTTTCCAGCTCTTTCCAGTTGTTATTCATCCTTTTCATATCTGCTTCTATTTCCCAACGTAATATGTTCTTTGACCTTCATCTTTTCCGTTTCCCTTCAGGATTCCAAGTTAGGGCTTGCCTCGTGATATAGTTTAGTGATTTCCATAATGTAAATCTTGCAAGAAATGTGCTAATAATGATCGTTTTCAGATTTCTCACTCATTGTATAGTACAATGATTTCATGGTACTCTTCAGACATTATTCTTCTTAGTTTATTTAACCTTGGAACTTTGTTAATTATATCAACTAATCACTATATGGTGGCGAATATCATTTCATCGATTCTTCGATTAGTTGGTCAAACCCAACATGCAACATGGTACATGTTTACATCGATCCAAGTTACCATACCCAATTAGCACAGCAAAATGCAATTGACAAGGTCAATCCCAGAGTAGTAGGCATAGTCACATGATTAATGGTAATAAGAAGGATTAGGAATCTAAGGTACATTTCTAGAAAATATAAATTAGTGAAAGGAAGTTTATAAGGAATCAAAAAGTTCTGAATCTAATGGAAGACAACTCGACAGTCCCACAGTATACATGCAATGCTTCAAAGACACCTATGGGTGAATACTAGCAGTCTACGAACATCCTCCATTTTTGAAAGTCACTGTTAAACTTACCTGTTTGTTTGTTACTTTAAAAAGCTTCTAGAAGAAAGTCATCGTGGGTGTGTGGTCATAGTGTGTCCATATTTGTCATATGAGTCATTCAATAAGTACTTTATTTCTAAAAAAAGTATTATGGTTGGGTCTGTCTCTTTTACTTAAGGGTTTGAGATTTTCACCGTTTTTATAACTATTTCAGTGTATTTGTGTTATGTATCGAGAATTTTTCCCACGAAACGTTTCCTTAAAACTAGATAACATTACGTGACAAACTGATTATTGTGTCGAGGTAGGATTCAAATTAGCAGCCTTTAAGTAGAATGTCCGGTATTTTACTGACTGGGACAAGAGATCTAACTATTAAACAGGCTTTAAGTGTTATATTTGACTCGGTGATATGGATAAATTTCAAGGACTTAGTCAAAGTTTACACTAGCTACTCACTCAAATCTTGGGTAAATATAAATATGCGAAGTTAGATAAGGTGAGCGTTTAGTTGATTGAAAAGCAAGGTATTTGAGAAAGGGATAACCTTGTCTAAACTACTAATTTCTGTAAGAATGAACAGCGACTGAATGGTTAGTTGTTCCGTGATTACATGCTAGTATCTTTGGATTAAATGGTTTCTGAGTAAAGTTGTAGTTTTGTTACCCTTATATCACAGGTCTGGTCATTACATTTACACCAGTTTTAAAGACCTCGGGGGTATCAATGCCCCGTACATTTGAAGATGTAATTTGAAGCCGAGTTAACTAATGTGTAGTTGATTAGTAAATCGCAATAACACTGTACAAACATATATCGGGCTAAGTTGCTATATTTAACATCCTCACAGAATAGATATTATTGTGATTTTCACTAATGCAATTACTGTATAAGTTAATACTCGTTATCTCCACACAAAATGTACTCGTTCTTTGAAACGACAAATCAAGGCATTAAGATAACCAACTTCATGTAGCTTGTATTGATTGAGCTGTTCACAAATATCTGATCCAAACCTTTGAGGTGGTAGTTATTTTAACTTTGTAAGAAATCGTGAACGATGATTTCTGTTGAGGATCGTAACCAGATTTGACCTCATATTTAAGGATTGAACTGTTGATTGACTTCTAGCCCTCCTTAGATAATCTTGCAGAATAATGGTTAGAAATGCGACTAATAAGTGCACATTTTGTACCAGGTACGCGTATATAGCTACCGCCGGGGAAGACCTACTCACTGCCTTCTCGCGACGGGGCTGCTGTTTACGAAATTGAGAGAACGAAAAGCTAATTTTCAGCGCTTTAACCGGGTTGGTTAATAAAGAGGGTTCACTTAGGGGAATTGGAAAACTCTGATTCCATACCAGTGGTGCACATAAGCTCCAGGATCCTGAAGGAACAAATGGTGTATGAACCCATTGTTGTTCACTGGCCACTATGGGAATGCATCTCTTGACCTTGTTCCACTGCCTTGTGGATCAGACCTTTAGGTCAAAGGCTCCAGGTGTGACCCCTTAAGAGGATCACCTGCTTTCGTTTGGGCACCCGAACAGTATCCCAGCCTTCACACAAATCTAATGATTTATGTGACGCATATGTATTTCAGTACCCCTTTGTACCCCTTTGATCTGTTTAAGTGAATAAATAAAACTCATAGGATCAGATCTTAATAATTTCATCATCAGAGAACGATCAAGAAATCAACTAAAAACAGGAAAATTCAGGTGTAATTTAGATTTTGCAAGATTATTTTTTCAGAATGTTTACTTTTCAATTATGTATTTATCAAATAATGATCATAATGTAGGTGAGATTTCAGTGTAATGATTCACTTCCTATCATTTGTTACATAATGAGGTATGGTCTACACTGATTAATCACTGTAATAACCAATATGATGTTTATGTAGTCCTTAGTGTTCATCGAGTTTCATTGATTATGTTACTAGTTGATCACTAGTTTAAGTAAGTCGATAATATGTGTCCTGTTTTGACATAAGTTAATTATAAGTACTTGATAGAAAACTCGAAACCTAGTTTATAACCTAGGTTATAACAGGAAGTATAGAATCACTGTTTTGTCAGAAGTGGTCATTCACAATCCTATCGGGGATCGAACCCAACACCCTTAGACCTGTTTAAACTATTGAGCTAGCATCTAATAATGTACATGTTTAATTTCAATCAATTCAGAAAGTAGTAAGTAAACTGCTTCTCAACCGACCTGTCTGACATGGTAGAACCTTGAGGAACGGTTGTTCCATCCAGTATAGATCGGTTGCTCCATCACGATAGGCAAGCTCGACCACCACGTCAAGGTAGCAACAACGGTCGTAAATTATGACAGTTTGGTTCAATGAACACATTTATTCTGATTAATAAACGCTATTGAATATATCATAAGGTAAGGATCAGCTGTGATAAATAGTCTATGGTTCGTTTAGTACAACAATCTCAACAAATAATAATAAAAACAAAAACAAACACCATGGTTTTAAAGTCCTACATATCTAATCATGTATGTGTTTGTTTTTCTGAAGTTTTTCGAAAAAAAATTTTTTTTTTAATATCCATCTGGTTTTTAAGTTTTGTGTGTTTAGTTAAGTTAATGTAAATGAATAAGTTAATGAATTCATGAGTTAATTGAAGTTAGACTACCATAGAAAATCTGGAAACCTTGAATGATCGTTCCATCCTGGTATTTGAATTCCTTCGCAGTGTACATCCGCGATCCTACCTTGCAAGATTCGAACCTATGACTTATCAGTGTCGCGTATGAACGCTTCAATGAACTCATGAATTCAATTATTAAAATTACTACAATCTTTACAAAAACCTCTTTCTGATTATTGAGTTTATATCATATTCATGGTTAGTATATAGGTGCACCTGTAATCTTGAGGGAACTGGTGCTCCCTGGCAGATTCGATCCCGTGTCATACAGCTTCACAGTCAGAGACGTTAACACTGAGCTATCCGGGCCGCGACCAACCGATTGCAGGTACACCTTGCTGACGAGTGCCAAGTACCACGAAACCCGGGTCTAGGGTTTCCTGTCGACTACCTCCAACCACCATCTAATCTCAATATATAGTGCACACATTGTCGAGTCATCTAGACTGGTGGCCACAGTGCAACATGATCGATAGCATTCGATCTGCACTAAATAAGGACTTGACATACATGACATTGATCACCACCCAGTGATCAATCAATTGTGATTATAGGTTTTCTCTCTTTTGTATAAGCTCATTATTTTTTCTCATAAGGTCAAAACATGATATTGAAATAAATAATAGCTATTTTTCAGTTTTGAATTAAAAAAAAGAGTTGAGTTTTATCCTTAAAAGGTTATGCAAATAATGTGACTAATAGTGGGTAACAAGATGCAAATTTGTTTCTGTTGACTAAAATTCCTAATTGTTAACACCTTGTTATTATTAGTTCTAACATCACATATCAAGAGATAGATTCTATATGAACTCGATTTACCATTCTCGAGTTATGCCTTGTCTATCAATGACTATCTTCCACATTCATGGCTACTTTTGGCTAGATCTTGTACAAATGTGTATTTTCTATTTTGTGGTACGATGTGATCTGGTTGGTTTCTATATAAATCCAGTATGCTTGAAATACATGAGGAGAGGATAAGATCGGTGTTCTAGACTTAACAGGTAGGGCTAGACAGGAAGCAGGTCCAATAAAGACTCTAGACTGTTTGCACGTCTTTTATGCGTCATTGGTCCTGGCAACAAATCACTGTCCTCTAATTGGCGGTATCATTACGTTATAGATTGATAAGGGCACAAAACCACAAGTTGTAACAATTGGCGACGGGTCTACAGTGAACTTCATGTTTATCTACAATCAAGTGATCTTTGATTTATGTTTGTAACTGTCAAACAGAGGATTGTGTACTGATGTAAAATACTTCTTAATCTATTTATTGTATTATTTCGTTCACTATCAGCGTAAATTTTGTTTTATTACTACGTTTATTTTAGCATTAAATCAAGCGCTTATTGATTATGCTGAATCATTGAATGATTTTTCAGAGTACGCTCATCAGTCAACTTGTTTATCCCAAACAGAAAACGGTATGGTGTCCAGTTTAACCATTTCTAATTTAACTGAAATAGAAGTTTGTGAAACCGATGATGATATTATAATTAAAAATGCCTTGTCAGTTTATGCAACTATAATTACAAATGTTGAAGAGGCTAGGCGTACTATGATTGTAAGTTTTATTGTTTGATATTGCATAGTTACATATTACTGTTCAATCATTGGTGAGTAGTAATTTAGCACAATATTTTCAAAGGTGTATAATGTAAAATAACAATGAGTTAAGAGGTTGTATTCAATCAGTCATTCTTTCATAATCAATGTATGAATCTATTCAAGTCGTTACATCTTGAATTGTCACATTGAGATAAAATCGGTAAGGTGAATAGCAAAAGAATCAAAATTAGGTAATATCAGTGGTACTAGGAAAGGCTAAACATGGAGAATTTGATTCGAAGAGAAGGGAAGAGTTCGTGGAATGAAAGTATGTTGTAATTTATCTTATTACGATCCAAATACTTTTATTGCTTAGCGACTTCTCACTAGAACTCCAGGAGTATCTCCTAAGGAGTCCCATACTAGGACGAAACGGCCGTCCAGCGCTTCCAGGTTTTCCATAGTGGTCTAGTTTCAATTAACTCATGATTTCAACTATTGAAATGACTAAAATCTCTACAAAACCCATTCTGACATTGAAATTTTTATCATTTTTTTTAAACAGTAAATTACATTGTCAAGGTTAAAATCAATAAATTAAATGTTCTAAATGCACTAATCATCATTGTGCATCATGGTAACTAGACTACACAATCATGACATTTATTCATTTGTACTTGTATTTGTGTTTGTTTGTTTGTGTGTGTGTGTGTTTGTATACGGATATGTCCAGATTTCTAATGGCAGATGAATATTATAACTGAATTCACATATTGATAATTATCAACATAAGATATTAACCATCTGCTATTGATTATGTATCCATCCATATTATGTTTACTGGTTGAAATGAAAAACAAAGAAGGTAGACTTATTCGGGTACAAAATTTAGTGTATTTTATATATCAATATCATAAAAGGAAATCAATAAAACAGAATAAAAATAAATGGGAATAATAATAATCATACAGTAACTGTATCCTTACAAAAACAACCCCGATGATAATCAGTCAGTCAGTCAGTCAGTAACAACGTAGAACTTCGTACGTACGTACATCAGTTCGAGTTGCCACACCACCTTAGCACAGAGATGCACTTGTCGATTCAAATCCCATAGTGGTAGAGGTAGCAAGAGTATGAGCAGTAATCGGGAGGATTAGGATTTGGAGATGTTATTTAAAGAGTATAATCCAGTGAAAGAAATTTGGAAAGAGGAAAAAAGGGACATGAAGAATTCAGAAGATTAGAATTTGGGAGAACACAAAGAGTGGATGCACCTGCGCCATTGCAAACGATTTTGAGCCATGTCATTCAGGGTCTCTAACCATCGGTTGCTATCATCTCGCGGTCCCCAACCAGGTAGTCTACACCTACCAACATGACTCAGTTCACTTGTCAGTGACTTCATGGACTTGTGCCATGTTTTGGTTTGGCCGCCCCTAGCTTTCTTCCAATCTACTCCTATACCACTGAACATAGCACGTCGAGGTAGTCGGTCGTTGGGCATAGGTAACACGTGTCCCAGCCATCTCCCGATGATAATCAGTGAGTTTTCTTAATAATACACAGCTACATGACACACTACATCAGGGGAATCATTTCTCCAGTTCCGAAGTTGGCGTTGACTATTAAGTTAGTGTTTATAATTGTTTACATTCTCAATTTTAATCAGTTAGACAAGACTAGAATTTATAGACGAACTAATTAGATATAAGATAACGAGTCATGTATTTTTAGTGCGCAATTCATTCATACATTTGGCTAAATAAAGTTTTCACATTATAGCTGATATCAATTCGTGATGAAAACCTTAAATCTAATTCCTAATGTTAACCATCAATTGTAAATCATAATTCTAACTGGTTTACGACTCTCATTTAGTCCTAATCAGTAAGTGTCCACTTTCAAGGTCACTTCAGCGTCGCTCAAAAGTCGTCTATAAATTATAATCTCACCACTATAAAGTTTATTATTATTATTATTATTATTATTATTATTATTATTATTATTATTATTATTATTATGCTCTTTATAGCAGCCCAATAAAGAGCTGGTCTTAACTGAACTATCGGAATTACGTTCTCTATGGTTGGGTGGTCAAAATGTAAGTTTCTAGTTTTCATTATTAAAATAACAAACAATAAATTCACTTGATATTGTTTTACTTGAATCTTCTCATTGTTGTTTAGGACTGCAATTGATCAGTCTCTTATTGGCATGTGTGCATACTGTGCGTATTACTTCGATACTGCCTTCATTCACAAGCATTTTAAGCAAAGATGGATAATAGTTAGCCGTGGAATCCAGAACGCGCGTTTCGTCCTATTTGGCTATCAGGAATCAGTAGCTAAGTAGATTACGCTATGGTGTTTGAAGCGAACGGTACTGACTTCGAGCCCCAGAGGGAACATCAACTCTGAGATGCAGGTACATCCATCTGATGAGTCCGAGATAGGACGAAACGCGTGTCCTAGATTCCACTGTTAGCCACTATCCATCTTTGCATAGATTTCTTTATAGTTTACATTATGGATTGATCTTTTTTAGACAGATACTGAAAGAGCTAAAAATATACTGGACAGTTTATTTCTTCGTAGTATAGGACTCGTGCAATAAAATGAGTTAAATAAAGTTGAGATTGTAGACCATTAAATACCGATTCAGTGGTTCAATGATTAAGCGCTCTCCTGAAGACCTTAGGCTGTTGGGTTCAATTTCTGACAGGATTGTAAATGAATACTACTTGTGAGTCTCCACAATCTAATGAAACAGCTATTTAGTGCTTCATGGTCTTCAGTCGTTTTCTAACTAAAAGTTATTTCGTGATGTAAACTATGCAATTCAACATCTCCATAAATCCTTTACATTAGTAAAGGGTTAAGTAATCAAATGTTTCCTAATCTTTATTATTTTGTATAATTTAACTTCTTCACGGTTAATTCATAGATTAAATAGAGACGAAGAGAGAATGAGAATAATATCCACAATAAAATTGTTTAGAAGTCATATCAACCATTAAGGTCTGTAAATCTTACCGAATAGCTGTTTCGTTCAAGTTTTTCGTCACCTAATCTAATAATTAGTATATGCATGTTATTGACTAGTGTTACCTGATCTGATCTCATATGTTCCATTTGTATCGTATTTCTTATGAGGAGATTATTATCTCAGGTGATATTCGTTTTCTCAGTTTTATCCTTCATCTCTCCCTTCCTGTTATACTTATATGAGGTGTGCTAACTTATACCGATACACATCCTACGTTCACTATGACTAATGGATTGATTCATTATTTCTTATTTTCCAATGATTTTGTATTTGTGATGTATCGTGTACTTGTTGAACACGTGATACTGTCTATCTGACCGCTTCATAGTCTTAAAAATCTCATAGAATTGAACCTCGAACAGAAGGCAGATAGTGGGGAGTACAGAAATCAAGGATATTGATTGGTTTGTTTGAAAATATACTGGAATTAGTAACGAAATTGTTAATTACCCAATCAGGATATGACACATAATCTATCATTTTCTTAGATCTCTGCAAGGTTTCTATTGGACGTTGATTGAATGAAGTATTTTAAACATTTTCACATCTTCCGAAAACTTTTCCAAAGAATTTCCGAAACTCCTAACAAATTGATTTTACTCTTATTAAAGCTGTTAGTCTCTATCTAGTTCCATTGAATATCTAGGTATATATTAATATTCGTTTTAAAGATAGAATCAATTCTCATCGTTCTTATCACTGATTGATTTTATTACTACTTCCTCTACCATCGTCACCGTTTCACATGTCTTGTATGATCTTATTTCATGTTTGTTTTTGCTTTGACTAGGTGAAACGCTCATATGCACATATATATATATATATATATATATATATATATATATATATATATATATATATAGACAGATAGATAGATAGATAGAGACACTAGTAGTCGTTATAAATCTGTTTAATTTGATGATAAGCACACTGAAAGAAAATTGATTTTTCTTTGTTCACATTGGTGCATTCAGTTGATACTTTATCATACTATTCATAATGTAATGTGTCATTCATTTCACCTATTGTTGATATCTCTATCGGCATTGTTTTCTTTTTGTTGTTGTTGTTGAAAGTATTATTTACTTACATGTATGTATGTTTGTCTGTGTGTTTATATTTGTATCAACACAATTACGATAAGGTATTGGGTTCGAGCCTTAGTTTGAAAATCAATACTGGAGTCCAGGTACATCATCTAGCTGGCAAGTCCCAAGTTGGACAAAATGTGCATTTTGAATCTCACTGTTAGCTACTATCCAACCTTATTTCTTTAAAAAAAAATTGTGACTAATTGGCAATTCAGTTAAGATGAACATATGTCTATAGCGACTGGTTGGTTGCAGTTCGTAACATCCAAAGTGATCAAATATATATAGTATTATAAATACCTAGAATTGAATTTTATGATGTTCTTGATGATGTGTTGATGAATGCAAATGAACTGAAATAAGACTATGTGTATACTGCACATCAGTTTGATTTGTAATATTTAGTGTTTGAGACCTATAAAAGTAGAAGATATGTGAAGGTTGCAAATGTATGATCACGTATATCTCGAATGCATGTGGTACTGAATACTGTAAGGTTAGACGTCAAGTATCTGGTAGAAATGATAATTTGTATGTTATGGTCATAAATCTTTATCAGTTTATATACTTGAGACATCGGTTCCATTACTTGGTTACACGCCGAGTTCCATGACATTTTTTTTTATAACAACAAGTGGTTATGGTGTTTCCTCTGAAGAGTTGGATGTAAGAATGAAACAGTCGTTACAATAGTCAGTATATTATTGAAACTATGGAACTGTTTATTTCTGGATGGTAATCTCAAATCGGTTATTCAACCTTTTGTAAATTTTCATTTGACACAACACTCGTTTTCTCTGTTGTACATCATAATGATGATGATGATGATGAATCATTCCATCGGTTTGACCTTTTCTTTTCATTGTTAAGCCATCATGTATGATTAGTCTAAGAATAAGTTGTTTATTTACTGTTCGTGTGTAAATATAGGCTTGTTTCCTTTTTATTAATTTGAAAAACAACAAACATTAATCAGTTGTTTGTACTGGTTTTTCGTTTGTCTCTCTCTTTCGTTTTTCTTTCTTTTTTTTTCGCAGCTTTTCTTGTATTCATATTAGTATGTACTGTGGGTATTAGTGTTTAAATCCCATCCACCTATTTGTCCCTCTCTTTCTCTTTCTCTCTCCTTCCCATTCATCCACTCACTGTGCTTTATTTCAGCTTTCAGTTTCTTTCATTGTACGATAAACAGTTTGCATCACTTAGATTGTTTATACACGAATCGGTCATCATCAGCTCGTAACTAATTTACATGGTTGTGTTTATAATAGTTTGTTTTTACTGTTAATTGTTTTTTTTTTAATGCAAACAATACAGTTATTTCATAAAAGGGTAATGGTTGATCCTTTATTGAATAATGTAGCACATGGCCGTATAGAACCTTTAGGATTAAACTTTATAGAGTAGTGAGTGGATTGGACCTCATTATATTTCTTGGGCATTTCATGAACTATCAGTGCTGATAAAATTTAGTGAAGGATTTGAAGAGCTTGTTCGACTTTCTGTTAATTTGTGTCAGCTGTGTTGTTTTAAATGAGCTATTCATATACTTAACATGGAGCAGACATATTATACAACAATTCGTTCTGTATTACTCTGACTGTGAAAGTGGAGAACATATTTAGGTTGACAGTACTTGGTCATAGATTTCTTCAAAGTATTGCTCATTGACGTTGAAATAAGCAAATAAACAATGTTGAGGTTAAACTTAAGGGACTATGTAAATATGGCGGATTGGTTTTTGTAGACCAAAATCACTAAGACCTGTTAGTACATTGTATAGGAACAGACTTCAGTCCAGACGTTTAGAACGATGAGCGGAACATTTCAGAGAACAGTTCAGCTGGCCTTCAGCTACTCTACAACTACCCTCCATTCCCAGACAGTGTGAATGGAACATTGAAGTAGGTCCCCCAACTCTTGCTGAAGTTCAAAAGGCTGTAGTTAATCTGAAACGAGGAAGGGCAGCTGGTCCAGATGGATTGGCTCCAAAGGTCTTTAAGGATGGTGGTCCAATTTTAGCGATTAGGTTGACTAATATTTTAGCTAAAACCTGGGAGTTAGACGTTATTCCATCTGACTGGTCACAATCACTTATCGTCCCAATATATAAGAAAGGGTTAAAATCATCCTGTGACAACCATAGAGGGATTAGTTTAACTAATATAATATCTAAAATACTAGCCTCGATAATTATCAGACGCCTAACTAAGACTCGTGAACTGCAAACACGAGAGAACCAAGCTGGCTTCAGACCTGGTCGTGGCTGCATCGACCACATATTCACCATTCGTCAGATTCTAGAACACAGGCATACCTATCGGCGTCCGACGATGGTGGTCTTTCTTGACCTAAAAGCAGCATTTGACTCTGTAAACCGCGAGATTCTGTGGCAGTGTCTGTCATTGGAAGGCGTACCCCAGAAGTACATAAACCTTGTAAAGGCTCTTTGCCCGAACACTACCAGTCGAGTCAGAGCTTATGGCGAACTGTCATCTACTTTTGCAACCTCAAGTGGTGTCCGTCAAGGCTGTCCACTTTCCCCATTTTTGTTTAACTTCATCATAGATCTACTGATGGAAATAACTTTCTCGTCTACTGAGTTCTCGGGTATTGATCTCCTTCTAGAAGGTCCACTTATCGACTTAGAATACGCAGATGATGTAGTCCTGTTTGGTGAAGACGCTGATAAAATGCAGAGTCTTTTGGTAGCACTGAGCAACAATGCCAGAATGTTTGGAATGCGCTTCTGTCCCTCGAAATGCAAGTTGTTGCTTCAGGACTGGTCTGCGTCAACACCTGAACTAAGGATAGGGAGTGAAGTAGTCGAACGCGTTGACAACTTCACTTATCTTGGAAGTCTGATCAGCTCTAATGGGTTGGTGTGTGACAAAATCTCAGCATGGATTCGAAAAGCTCGCTTGGCTTTTGCCAACTTACGTCACCTATGGCAAAGGTAAGATATCTGTCCATCAATAAAAGGACGAGTATACTGCGCGGCAGTCCATTCTGTTTTAATTTACGGCAGCGAAACATGGCCATTAAGAGTAGAAGACACTCGTAAGCTACTGGTATTTGACCACAGATGTCTAAGAAATATTGCTGGGATCACCGGGTAAGTAATAGGGAAGTCAGACATAGGGTATTAGGGAATGATGGTAAAACAGATGATGAGGTTGTGAATCTTCATCGACTGAGATGGTTGGGCCACGTGTTACGTATGCCTGAACACCGATTACCACGACGTGCAATGCTGACTAGTGTTGAGGATGGTTGGAAGAAAGTTAGGGGCGGCCAGACCAAAACGTGGCATCAGTGCTTGAAGTCATTAACTTCTAGTGTGAGCCATGTTGGTAGCTGCAGACTACTTGGTTGGGGTCCTCGTGACTATCGTAACCAATGGTTGGAGACTCGTGGTGACATGGCTCAGAATCGATCACAATGGCTTAGGTGTATACACTCTCTGTCTTTCTTTAAACTAAGAGATTAAAATCGCTTCATATCTTTCTTTCTACGAACTAATTCTTTCTTCCTGTACTATATCCTTATTGCAATCTTTCTTTTATATATTACCACCTTTGAATTAACTACTTTTATGAATCCGCTGTTCATCTTGTTGTGTTAATGAGGTATGGGAACTTGGACCGATAGGAACAGACTGGAAAAATATTACGGTCTGGCTAAGCAAGATGTGTCGTATCACAGCGTCGAGTTATTGACTGTTTGCCTGGACCTTGGTTACAGACGCTGAATGACATGGCTAGAAAATGGTTTCACTAACTCAGGTATATTCATTGCCCATCTGCCTCCAAATCTTGAGTGTTAATATAGTTTCATACATTTTACTCCATTATTATATTACTTTTTTCCAACTGTATTATCGATGTTTAGTATTCTACTGTCATCAACACTACTATTACTACACTATCTTCGCTAGATATCTTGCTAATTTTGTTTAACTGTGCTTGATATGGTGTTTTAACTTGATTTGATGCACACCTATCCGAAGCACTTTGTTGTTATAATTGGTTGAGTACAGGGTTCTTTAGCTACTTATTTTCAAACCAACTACCATTGTCCTCTGAATATTCAACCTTCATCCAAATGAAACTGCAATTTTGAATTAGATACGGAAATGGTTTTTTATGAAGTTACACATAACTTTGCAATTCTGCAGGGTCACATGTTAACTGAGAGGGACTAGTGTAGGGGGTTAGTTGTAAATAATGTCACTATAATATTAATGTATACTTTTTTTGCCATTGTATCGTTATAAATAACCATTAATAATGCTAGGCGGATTGGGTGTTCCTGACAGTTAGCACATGTTACGGGAACCGATGTTCGATGTGGGATTGAAACGTGCATCACCCCACTTCACAATCTGAGATATTATCACTGTCATTCAGGCAGCCACTGACCTCTCGCTGAACTGAGATATTTACAAATGATTGACCATTGAGTAGTGACTAACGTCATTTTTCTCTAATTCTCTTGTTGGTCGAATTCTGTTTATTGAGGATTGTAGGTACACACTCCTGGTTAATGTCAAGTAAAACGAAAAATCTGTCGAGGACTTCATGATGGCTACTTCCAACGACTTATTTACTTACTTACGCCTGTTACTCCTAATGGAGCATAGGCCACAAACCAGCAAATTCCAACCCACTCTGTCCTGGGCCTTCTTTTCTATTTCCATGCAATTCTTGTTCATTTTTCTCAGGTCTATCTTCATTTCCCAGCGCAGTGTGCTCTCTGGTCTTCCATGTGAGGGCTTGTCTTGTGACGCAAGTTTGTTGATAGGATTCAATCACCACTGAGGATTAGTAAAAATTTACTCTAGTCACCACTCACCGATCAACCAACTGTTAGGGTTTGAGATTCTTGATGGTCTAATATTCTACGATACACTTCGTCACTGACTAATTTTAGATGATAAACCATTAGACACCTGGGATCAATGGGACAGATATCTCTTCTCTACTCTATCGAGGCTCATCAGTCGTGCTAACTTAAAATTCACCAGAGATTAGATCCACGTTAAATACTAACTAGAAAACCTGAATATTCTGGTTTTAATCTCATCTAAGATCGTTGGTTTACACCGCTGACTAGTCGGAAATAAAAATTGAAATTATGCGGATATGAAAATCATACTCGATGCACATGTAAGTGGCTATATGGACTCAGGAGTTTAGTGGATAATGCATAGTACCTTTGAAGAGAAAGGCATTAGGTTTAAACCTCAATGTAGACATCAACACTCGTATGCAAGTTTCAAACTGGACAAAATGGTCATTCTGATATCTACCACTAATCACAATCCATCAATTGGCCTCGTGTATTATTTACATGAAATTGATTTCATAATTTACGTTTCTAAATAATGAAGGTTTATTGTTTTGATTTTTGCTCTGTGTTAGACTAATGTAAAAGCATTTCAAAAAGAAACTAAAAACTTTTGTCAATACCTTGAAAAATACGCATCAATTAAATCAAAAGAGTTTACAGAAGATGTAAGTTATTCAATGCTTTATAATGATTAAACAATCTTAATTTTATTATCATGAGGATTTGTGGAGATTGTACTAGTTTAACAGTTGAATTCACGAGTCAACCTAAGCTAGATCATCATTGAAAACCTGGAAGCACTGGACCGCCGTTTCGTCCTAGTACGGGACTGCTCAGCAGTGCACATCCATGGTCCTGCATGCAGGACTCGAGCCTAGGGCCTTCGATTCTGAGCGTGAACGCTTAACCTCTGGACCACTGAGCCGGCATCCAACGATGTTAATGTCTAACTTCAATCCACCCATGATCTTGTGCAGCCCTTCGTACATTCTCTCTGGTGGATAAATGTCTCCATCCGTCACGAGTTTCACATGCTAAACAGAAGGTCCTGGGCTCGAGTTTCGCGTGTGAGATCGTGGATGCGCACTGCTGAGTCGTCTCACACTATAGCGAAACGGCAGTCCAGTGCTTCCAGGTTTTAAATAGTGGTCTACCTTAGATTGACTCATTAGTTCAACTTTTAAAAACTTAATTTTGTTTTCGTTCATTCAGTTCAGAAGTTATTTCTGTAAATTTTCCTTGAAAAACTGGAAAATGCACCACTTAAAATTACAATTAGCCATTTATCAACTTATTATCGCTATATAGACGATACTTTCATAGTACTAGAAAAAGAACATGATAACGATAGTTTACTTAATATATTTAATAACGTTCATCCATCAATTAATTTTACATCAGAAGAAGAACAGAACAATAGCATATCATTTCTAGATGTCTAACTAACTAGACGAGCAGACGGAACTTTAAAAAGAGGGGTACGTAGAAAGCCTATAACAAGACAATACACTCATTTCTATAATGCAGTTCCAATCAGATACAAAAGGAAAGAGATAAAGATCTTGACCCGTCGAGCCAGAATGATTTGTTCGGATGACTCTATTGGAGAGGAATTAATATTCGTAACTTAGTAAGAATGAGTACTCTATAAAATTCATCGACAAACAAATGAAGGAGATGAAAAGAAGGACAAAGATACCTACCGTCCCTAAAAAAGTATTGTTGATAAAATTACAAAACGTAAATGACACTACTGAGGAAATGGTGACTCAAAGACTAAGAAAAGTTGTACAAAAAACATTTAATGCAGCCGGACTAAATGCTATCTTCTACAACCACCCTACAATAAGAACGGCCAATAAAGACAGATCGATTCAACTGCTCCTGTAGAGCCAGTTATATAGGGCGTACAGTTCGGCAAGTTCGTCATCGTGGTTAAGCAAAAGCCAGGTAAGAGTGATTAAAAGTTCTATTCTTGCGCACTTGGTTGACACAGGTCATGATGTTGAACTGAATAAAGCTTTTAAGGTTATCTACCATATTCCATCAAATTTGCCACATGGTTCACGAGTGCGCTTTTTGCACATGTTCATAAACCTAACCTTTGCATTGAAAAGAAATTTGTACAACCACTTTCGCTACCTTGGCCATCGGTATAAGAGTGCTTGCAGCAGAACTATTTTTCGTACTTCTTCCATTTGGTTTTTATATATTTATTTTAACTTTGTCTTTTTCTCAACATTCATCTCTTGATTCTTACACAACTACTATTCTATTGACCATCCATTATAATATTCTGTTCCTTCTCTTTTTCATATATTATGCAACGTAGCAACTTCTTGATTTTCGAATAATTACTTTGATTATTGTTATTCCTCTCTCTCTTCCAATTCTCAATGTTAGTTTATAATCGAAATGTCATTATGTAATCTATTACGTGACGTCTCCACTCGATGAGTGAAAAAGAAATTGCAAAGAAATTCCTTCGCTCAATTCATTCCTTCTTTAGTTTTGTGTGACTATAAATATTGATTAACGCTTGTTTAAATCTAGTTAACTTACATACCTTTTCCGCTGCGCTCCGTCTCGTTTTTCTCTCTTCTTCGCTTCCTTTGCTACATCTCTTTGATTATCTGTTCCAATGAATGATTGTACAAAATATACGTATTCGAAATCCATTCTCGTATTTGATCTATTTTTAATACCGGTATATTCACTTACGAGTATTCCATGTACCTAAATAAATGGTTGCTCTGGTTGTCAGAAGGGGCATTGGCCTCGTGACTCCCGAAGGAACTCAGCTTTCATCATGAGGTGTCATAACTCTTCTAAATGAAGACCTTCTGACTCCCAGGGCAGAGTTTAAAAAGTTTGAATTATTTTTTCTGGTTAGCTTCATTTTAGCGAGTTAGTTTTCTACAGGATGGGGTCGCTAACCACATGTCCAACCCTTCTCCTTTATCCGGGCTTGGGACCGGCAGTAGCCTTCGGAGGGACTCCAACTGTGGGAAAAAACAAACCAGATCCCAGCGGAGGAAGAAATCAGAAAGAAGCTTTGGAGATGGTTAGGACACATATTGAGTAAAACACCCAACTGCGTCAGAAGACAAGCCCTCACATGGAATCCTCAAGACCAAAGGAAAAGAGGAAGACCAAAGAACACATTACACCGGGAAATGGAGATAGACCTGAGAAAAATGAACAAGAATTGCATGGAACTAGAAAAGAAGGCCCAGGACAGAGTGGGTTGGAGAATGCTGGTTTGTGGCCCATGCTCCATTAGGAGTAACAATCGTAAGTAAGTACGTAATATTCACTTACATGGATTAGGTCGATAATAATGTACAGCAGTAGTCAGGGTGTATATTTCGACAGCAACCATTCACTAACAATCATTCATATAATCTACTTGAAATCAGATCCTGGATCACTAAATATTCTCTTATTTCATTTTTGTGTATTCTTTCTGTCTCTTCTTCTTTTCCTATTTGCCCAAGTTCAACCTTCTTTCCTTTTTGCTTGTTTTATTTTCATTATAGAATGATGCAAAAATGCTTCAAGAACGTAAAAATTATATTGCCAAAGCATTTGAATACATCAGCAATATAAATGAAGCGCATGAATTGAAAAAATCCAAATTTGTTCAAACAGTAAATTGTTATTCATTAGTTGCATAACTGTTTTATTATTTTTACCATTATTATTACACATGTTTAATTATGATAATTAACCATCCGAATTGCCCCCATGATGTTAGCGAACAGTTGTATTCAGTAAAACGAATTTTATCTGTTTAGACGTTCATTTCCGAAGCAGTACAATTAGGTTTAATACGAATAAGTCAGTGAGCAAAAGTCCTGGTTAGCGTTTTTTTAGCGAGTTAGTTTTCTACGAAATGGGGTCGCTAACTTCATGCCCAAACCTCCTCCTTTACCCGGACTTTGGATCGGCAGTGACTCTAGAAGAGCTACGGGCGGAGTTGAGCAAAAGTCCTCCGTATAAATAAATCAACAATGAAAAATAACTTATCTTCAAAAAGGTGCATATTAATAAAAGTGAGTATTATAAGAGGGAATAAATATATTTAAACCATCATCATTGGGAATGTACAGAGCTGAAACTTGGAGAACTACTACAACCATCATTAGGAAGGTACAAGTATTTATAAATCGTTGTTTACGCAAGATGCTCAACATCCATTGGCTGGATACCATCAGCAAGAGCCTACTGTGAGAGAGAACAAACCAACTTCCAGTTGAAGAGGAAATTAGGAAAAGACGATGGAAATTGATAGAACATACATTACGGTAATAACCAAACTTGGAATCCTGAAAGGAAAAGGAAACGTGGAAGACCAGAGAACATATTACGTCGAGAAATAAAATCAGATATGAAAAGGATGAATAACAACTGGAAAGAGCTGCGAAGGATTGCCGAAGACAGGGTTGGATGGAGAGTGCTTGTGGGTGGCCTATGATCCTCCACGAGGAGTAACAGGCATAAGTAAGTAGTAAGCATCATTGGGAATCCGAAAGCGCTGAACAACTATTTCATTCTAGTATGAAACGTCTGAGTAATGCATATTCACTTCTTTGGAACTGGAAATCAGACTCGAATCCTTCATTCTTTGTTTGAAATTTAGTCGGTCTACCATCTGTCCTTTTATATTTATGATCAATTAAAAACGTAGTTCATTAAGTGTTCAATTCAAAGTTAATTTTTTTGAATTAGGTAACAATTTGTTATTGTTATTACTGTAGTCATGTTATCTCATATATAATCTACATTGAACAATTAAATTGAGTATTCAATTAACCTGCTCATCATGCTTGACTTTATTAATGTGTAAGTTTCTCAATTACGCCCTTCTAAATGTCAACCTTTTGCTTATGGCCTAATGAACTGATACTATACATTTTTACGATCAATTCGTATGTTTATGAAAATAATTGACTATACAGCTTGAATTAAATATGTATGAGATGAAAGGTCAGTCTGAAAGAGATTTTGTGCATCTATGTAGGGTGGGTGTGTTTTTTGGTGAAGTTTTGTTCTGTGAGCTGGATGGTTTGGTTATGGAGCTTTCATCGTTCTCCTGGACGACATCATTGATATGAATAAACTATGACGATCTACAATAATTAGGTCTTCTATTGTGCAACATTTAATGAATTGATGACATTTAGATTTTCGTTTTGATATATATATATTTTCAATTTCTTGTCAAATATTCCTCGAAATTTAAGTTGAGATCAATTTCAAACTGATTGGTTACTGAATAGTAACTATTTATATTGACTGAACTCTATCGATCCAGTTACAGTGTGGTCAGTAATTTAAGTGTGATTAGACATTGAGCATACTATATGTGAATGTTAGTTGTCGGAGTAAATATACAAAAAAATACTAAATCTAGGTCATGTGGCAATGGCCATTCATCAACAAGCCTTACCTGATATCCTAAAGATGTTGATATTTCCTTAAGGTTTCGAAGCCAGTCGGTCGCGGCTCGGATAGCTTAGTGGTAACGTCTCTGACTGTGAAGCTGGATGACACGAGATCGAATCCACTAGCGAGCACCAGTTCCCTCAAGATTACAGGTACACCTTGCTGACGAGTGCCAAGTAGCACGAAACCCGGGTCCAGGGTTTCCTGTTGACTACCTCCAACCATCATCTAAATCTCAATACATAGTGCCCGCAGTGTCGAGTCACCTAGACTGGTGGCCACATTGCAACATGATCGATAGCATTCGATCTGCACTAATAATAAGGACTTGACACACATGACATTGATCATCACCCAGTGATCAATCAATTGTGAAGCATACAGTTTATTAAATCTTCTGCTAATTTGAAGTTAATCAACATCAAAGACCGATAGATTCTTGAAGTATTAGTGTAGTGAACGAAGAATTGGTGGGTAAAGTCAATTTATTGGTTTACGCAAAATTACATAATGCCTTTATAATAAACTATGAAAATCAGATAGTAAATACATCATTTACATACCTTCCTTGAGTTGTCTGTTATATACTTCACTATTCTTCTTATCCTGTTGTTATTTCAATTGCTTTATATTTTCCTTCTTGTTCTCTTCGTTCTAACCTCCTGCTGGTAAGCATTCCATTCCTGCTACATACTACTTATGTCTGTCTACAATAGTATTTGTAGTAGCAACAGTACTATTAGAAAAGTATTAAAGAGGTGATAAAGTAAACAAATCATTTCAACCTTTGAATTAGGTCAAATTTTGGGTGAGAAGAATACATTAAAAACGAATCAATGAAGGTAATTTCATACAAAAGGGCGGTAGGTGTGTACATGTTTGCGAATAATTCAAGTTTACTTATCCTAAGGTTTGCAAAATTGATGAAATATATGAAGATTGATAAACATGTCAAGTCTTTGTTGATCAATCCGAGGATAAAGTTAATGTCAAATTATGGTTGTCCGTTTAAATCTCCTCATAATCTTAACCCTGTTTCTGAACTACAAAAGGATGTTCAATTACCTGTTACCATAACAAATGCGTTTGTAAACCTCTATTGAACCAATAGAACTAAATAATTTTTAATCAGAGAGGGGTTTTGTAGGTATTATAGTCACTTAATAATTGAATTCATAAGTCATTTGAAGCTAGACCACCGTGTAAAACCTGGAAGCCACTCAACGGCCGTTTCGTCCACAATCTCACCTCACGAGACTCGAACCCAGAACCTATCTGTCTAGCATGCGAACGCTTAACCTCTAAACCACTGAGCCGTCGTTCAACAGTGTTAATATCTATCTTCGAATCTCATGAGACGGGGTCGTGGATGCTCACGGCTAAGGAGTCGCATACTAGGAAGAAACGGCTGTCCACTGCTTCTAACCTCCTGCTGGTAAGCATTCCATTCCTGCTACATACTACTTATGTCTGTCTACATATGTAGTGTCCATCACAATAGTATTTGTAGTAGCAACAGTACTATTAGAAAAGTATTAAAGAGGTGATAAAGTAAACAAATCATTTCAACCTTTGAATTAGGTCAAATCTTGGGTGAGATGAATACATTAAAAACGAATCAATGAAGGTAATTTCATAAAAAAGTCGTGGATGCTCACGGCTAAGGAGTCGCATACTAGGAAGAAACGGCTGTCCACTACTTCCAGGTTTTCACTTTATGCATTAATCAATTATCCACTCAATTTTGCACATAGAATAACAACGTCGAACAGAAATTTAGTCATAACTTCTTATGCATTCATTACTATACTACTCTATGTATCTAATTTTCTTGTAAAAGAACATCTACTCTAATTACTTTATATCGATTAACATTTTGTAAACCTTAAACCCATTCATCTTCATAACTACATTCATTCCATTTATTGCCATTAATCTTCAATTGATGTTTTTGTTTTCTGTGTAATATGATTGTCAAGTTCATTGCTTACATCTTTTATTTTTGTTTCTTTCTAATTATTTGAAATATACAATAGTTGTTTGTTTTAATTCAATTGTCAATATTGAATAATTTACATTCATCATCATTCTTATCATTATCATCATTGTTAGGTGTACCACTGACATTGATTACATTATAGGTATTATAGTTAGTTTCTATTATGTGTACAGGTTTTTAATCATTAAAGATTGAATGAATTGAAATATGCTTTAATTAATTTGTAAGACTACTCTATATGCTCTGTGTATTTATGCTCTTCATATATTTTATATGGTATATGTGATATAGCTGTTTGTTGTATATATGCATTATTAAGACCTATAAGCAAAGATGGATAGTGACTAGCAGTGGAATCTAGGACGCGTTTCGTTCTGTTTAAGACTTGTCAGCTGGATATACTTGCATCTTAGAGTTGATATTCACTTCGGGTTTTGAACCCAGTACTGTTTGTTTCAAATGCCATCACTTTATTCACTTAGCTACTGAGTCCTGAGTGTACATCAACTTTGAGATGTATATACATCTAGATGACCAGTTCCAGATAGGACGAAATGCGCGTCAAACTGGATTCCACTACTAACCATTATCCATATTTGCTTAGAATGCTTGTGAATTAAGGCACTATCGAAGCAATCCGCACAGTATGCACATATGCCAATAAGAGACGGATCAATTGCAGTCCTAAACAACAATGAGAAGATTCAAGTAAACAATACCAACTGAATTTCATTATTAAAACCATTTATTGGATGATGGGTAAATAGTGTTTTATAATTGGAAGAGCTCTAACAGTTAAGCTTTACTTACCTGACTTACGAATTTTTTTAGCTGTTTTCAAGTGTTCATAAAATCTTATAATAATTCATATTTTTCCACTTGAAGTTTGAATTCATATCATTTAATGCCATGGAACAAAAAGATTATAACTGATTTGACATGATTTTCACTGACTTTTAACATAAAAACGAACGATTTCACATTGGAGACTGGATGTATATTACTGTGAAGCGACTAATGTCTTGGTACGACCAAGAATGGGGGAGCCATCTTTCCGTCTCGAAATGCTCTCACATGACCATGCGTATACAGCCATTGACAGGGGAGTCCTACTCACTGCCTTCTCATTGCGGCACTGTTCTTTACAAAATTGAGAGGACGAAAAGCGAATATCCAGCGATTTAACCGGGTTAGTGGGCACAGACAGTCCACTTAAGGAAGTTGGAAAGCCTTGATCCCAAACCAATGGTGCACATGGGCTCCAGGATCCTGAGAGAACAAAAGGCGTATGAACCTATTGTTGGTCACCGGATACCATGAGACTGCATCTTCTTACGTTGCTCCACTGCCTTGTCGATCAGACCTTTAAGTCAAAGGCTCGGGGTGTAGAGCCCCCTAAGAAAACCACCTACTTCGGTGTGGGCACCCAAACAGTATCCCAGGCCACAAACAAATCAACTGACTTGTATGGCGCATATGTATTTGTTGTCCCTCTGTACCAATATTTATGTGTTCAAATAAATAAATAATATAAATTTATGCTGAACATTCATTATGATCGGAGGGAAATCTCTTTAGTGTTCATTTTGACATCTTTTGAGGTTTAACTGTCGTTATCATAACGTATATGTCATTTAATAAGTAAATGTTTATACAATTAACTTATAGCTTGATTGTGTGAAATCCTCTGGTATTATTCATAGGTGTAAACTGAGTATGAGTTCGTACTTATTAACTTTTGGTTGTACGACTACTACCATCATACCACTGCTACACAAGTTGTAGGCCTAGAATACTGAATTTTATTGTTAGACAAAACTCCCATCCTGTAGTTTTGTACAACTGATAAGTTTGTAATACACGATTTTATGTTAGTTAGAATAGTTGACCTGTGATTTGCCAGTTAAGTGTACCTTTATCTGAATGTTAGTTTTAACATTCGGATCGGAATCAAGTACCTTCCACTTCAACATAAAAGTGTTATCTACTTAGCTATTAATACCAGATAGGTTATTATAGGAAATCATTAGAATGCTTTGTACTTAATTTTCGTTTTAGCTGACATTTTTCAGTAAGCCTTTGGGATGTTTAAAAAAATCATTGCTCTCTATATCATCCGTACAGTGTAAAATACAATTATAATTCACGTGATTTTATGCTACTGAAACTGGTTGCCTACATGACTACTTGATGGGTACCATTCAGTCGAAGCTTACAAGTCGGCAGTTCATTATTCAGCAAGTTAATCATTCAAAGTGATTTCGAGTGTTGTTAGAGTTGTTTATGTCACTTCCTGGTTGACGATATCATAGAAAGATTATTGGTCTTGAGCAACCTTCTTATAAGTAGTTCTTGACGTGTACTTATAAGGCATTAGCAACGGCGACGGGAAGCTTTAGGGCAAGGTGTGATGTGATTTTTAAGACTGACCTTTACTAAGGCCTTCGGTTTTAGGAAGACAGGATCACAACGGATACTAGTTATCTAAGGGAAATACCCAACAGCCGGTCGTACGGCTTCGTCCTTATACTGCGAGTTTGTCGCCTTTAATATCATCACTTTCCAACCAACTTGTTAGGCATGATCAGGTTTTTCAGTTGATACATTTCGATTGGGTAATCACGTTAGTTAAGGTTGATCGTCACATCATGATTACAGTCACAATCGAGACAGTTTATTCGTGTTTACGTATGATGTTGTTGAACGTCTATATATACATGTATTTGTATCTTTGAAACAAAAAAGAAGTAAGGTTTATTATATGTGTTGTGTTCTATTTAACTCTGTATTTTGTCATGTTTTCATCTGTAGCGAATAACCGATTTTAATCCAATGTACCATTGTAGGACACTCAAATTAATAAGATGTGAAATAAATTGAATGGTGGTATTGAAAACAGTCCGGTTTTTTTTTGTTGTTTTGTATTTGGATCTGATGAAAGTCAGATGATTAGATTTTGTAATGTTTAATTAGAATGTGAATGATTTATGGTACACGTTTTAATAATTGAAAACATTGATACTATAAGGAAACTGCGTGGTGTTATTACCAATGTAGTGAACGAGATCACAAGTGGGGACAGCCAAATGTATTTGGTTATAAAATTACACAACATTTTAGTAAATTCTGAGAACTATACAGTAAATACTTCATTTGCATCATATCCATCAATTGTCTCAAACTTGTCTGTTCCTTCTGAAAGATGTCAGCCAATTGTCTTGGACTTCATTGTTCCTTTGTTTCTACAGCAATTATACTCTGTTCTCGTTCTTTTCTCTTCGATCTTCTCAACCATCTACTTCCAGGCATTCAACTTTCGATTGGTGATTCATACTACTTATATCTGTCGACATCAGTAGCACACATCGCACCGATAACTCAAATTAACCAATATTCATTAATGGTCGATAGATTGATACTTTTGTAAATATTCGTTCGATTACTTAGATGATATAGTTGTATTTGGTGAAGATGTTGACAAAATAGTCTTCTGACCGTCTTAAGGTACCATGTTAGCATGTTAGGGATGCTTTCGTCTCTCTCTCTCTCTCTAAATAAAAAATATTTCTTGAGGACCGGTCTGTGTCTGAGCCATGTACGTAGGTGCATACTACGTGGTTGGGGTTTAAGTGACTAAATTGGTGGTTAGAGACTTCGTGTGAAACATCTCCGAATTGCTCACAATGGTGTTAGTGTATTTACCCTTGTTTTTTGCCTCCACATCCTAAGTTTTTAAATTCCTTTAGGCTTTTTTCATCCCAATGATTCATATTTCTTGAATTGTATCTTGGATGCCTAATCTTTTCTATTATCACTAATACGATGACTACTTCTACTACTACTCTGAGATCGGTCCTGACAATTGCATCTTTCTGTGCTAATTGTGTTTGACAATTTTAACCAATGTACACATGTACCATGTTCTACATTGCATATGACTAACTGACTAGCTTAGATAATTCTTTTGCTATAATCCAAATACTTAGACCTTTACAGGGTCGCTGAAATTGATTATCCTCAGTCTCTGTTAAAATTAGCTTATCCTGAGCGGATTCCTCGGTATTGTCTATAATCCTAAGTTTTGCTTCTTTGGGTATTGTTGGCATCTAAGCTGAGGCCATTTTTCTCATACTATGTTCGACAGCTAGCTATGATGGGTAACTTAAAATGTTTTTAATTATAGTAAATTTTTCAGGAATCAACTCACAATGAGTGTATGTTAACAGTGACCATTCAAATACAGTCTTGAATATAATAACAGCCTTATTGAACTTGCTGAACTTGTCAAGGATTAATTAGTCTTAGAAACTTAGTTAACAAAGCTTCGACATTTAAAACGATAGGTATTAGGTTTTGATTTCGGTATGAACATCAACACTGGAATGCAAGCATATCTGACCAATAAGTCTCCGGTTGGACAAAACGCTTGTCTTGCATACCAATTCTAAATCTTAATTTCGGTAAGGATTCATTGTTTTTAACCTGAAAAATTTAAATGTTACCCGAAAACAAGTGACTTGTGCTATTGTGTAAAAGGAATTGAATTGATATGATATTTTGCCAGCAAGAAACGTATTGAAATATTAAGCAAAGATGGATAGTGGTTAGCAGTGAAATTCAGTTTGACGCGCATTTCGTCCTATTGTGGGACTCCTCAGCAGTGCGCATCCACGATGGACTTAAAACTATAGAGTATGATGAAGTTATCGAGAACGATCATTCTCTCTAATACTTTTTATTGTTACTGTTAGAAAAGAATAATCTCAGTACAATTGCAATTGGTGAGATGATGCATAGATTAGAACGTATTTATCAAATACCATTTTTTATGAACTCGTCTTTGTAGCACACATTTTGTGCAAAGTTCGAGAATACTTTTCAGAGTAGAGATAAAAGTCAGAAATTTGAATATGTTAGTGTAAATTCAACTGACATCCATCAAAAAATATCAGTTCCTTCATGGTTTCACATATGCCTTGTTTATGAATGCCAACTAGTATGAAACCTAAGTCTACAATATATTGCCAGTTACTTTCAATCACATGGGATTAACAGTGATCTGCTTCAATCATTAGGACAAATGTTTCAAGTAGCTTTGATTGCCTTTGTAAATAGAAGCTCAATATTCTTTAACGTAATTGACATTTGATTTTCATTTTTCTTTATTTCCATTCATTCTCTTTTATAATTTTTTTCTCTTTCATACTTGATCAATATACAGGTAAGTTTGATCATGAGAATGTTGTCAAATTTCTATTATCAAGCTTTCGAACAATTCAAAGACTCATCACATCAAATTAGTCAGATACTTCAAGCTGCACAGCGTGTAAGTGAACCTATTCTCTCCTCTCTGTGTTTTCTCTTGTATAATTTAGTATTTTGTGTGTATGTGTACATGTATATGTTGTGTATTTTCGTATCCTACTAGATAGAAATAATTTATTGTATAGCATATTGTCTTTCAATATATGTTTCATCGTTATGTTAATTGAGTTAGCTCAGTAGTAGACTATTGACTAAGGTTTCTTCCTGGTTATCTCTTATTACCAGATAATGTCTTCAACATAGAGAGAGCATCCAGTAGAACCTAAATTCACATGTTGTGTCATATCTATTTAGCGTTAAACAAAATTACTATAGGTCGGAGATAGATTTCTTCAACTGGTCACTGGGTGGTACCCAATGCTGTCGAATTATGAGTGTTGATCAATGGTCAACATGTAAATTTATAGTGCAGTTACTAGGGGTCTTACCTGGATGTCGTCGTAAACGTCCATGTAATATAGTTGGAAGCAATCACAGTCTGTGCAATCAATTTTTTTTAATAATTTGGAACGGACTGCCTTGTTATAATTTGTTTGGATCTTCGATGATACACATTTTATCCTTTATACAGCTAAACTCAAGCTGTTGATATTTTCATGTATGTACAGTACCCATCATTCAATCTTTCTGCATAAGTGATACATCTCCTACTCTTCAAGAATAGAAAGATCGGTACTGAAATTTATCCCTGATATTTTATCCAGAGTAGTTTTTTGGTGGAGTAAGTTGAAATATAAGTCGTAACAGAGCTAGTGCATGCTTAATAGGAAAATGAAATGTACATTATTTAGAAAGATGTGACACATAAAATTACCTTAATTGAACATTTGTAACACAGATTTTAATAATGTGAAGCATACAATCAGGCCAAAATGGATAATAACGTTTTGAAGTACGAAATTACTATCGTAATATTCATCAATCCTCTGGATACATTTTGAAGAAAGTAGATATACGCCTAAAACGCATCATAACTACAACGTTTTGGAATGACAATTGTCACCTAGAAAGCAGCAGTTAGGAATAATTCTCTTCTTGGCCCCCAAATGCCCTGGTACGACCGAGGGTGGAGAGAGTCCGCTCTCCCTCTCGAAATGCTCCCACATGGCCACGTGTATAGAGCCACAGCTCGCAAAATCCTACTCACTGCCTTCTCATGGCGGCGCTGTTGTTTACGAAAATGAGAGGACGAAAGCAAATGTCCGGCTCTTTAATCGGGTTGGTGGATATAGAGGTTGGACCTAGGGAAGTTGGAAAACCCTGACTTCAAACCAGTGGTGCAAATGGGCTCCAGTATTCTGAAGGAACAAATGGCGTATGAACCAATCGTTGGACACCACCTACCATGAGACTGCATGTCTTTACGTTGCTCCCTTGCTTTGTGGATCAGACCTTTGGGTCAAAGGCTCCGGGTATGGCCCCCTAAGAAAACCACATGGTTCGGTTTGGGCTATTCTGTGCTTTTTTGTACCAAAATGTGCGGCATTCACTTTTACATGAATGACCTGCTAAAGTTGTTGTCTCAAATGACAATGACAATCCTATAATTCAACAATCTAGTTTAGTGAGCGTAACATCATCAAATTACTCTTTTCCATAGAATCTTAACCGTAACCATAATCAAGAACAATTTATTTATTTATTATATATTTGAACACATAAATATTGTTACAAAGGGGAACCAAATAAATATGAGCCATACACATCACTTGGTTTGTTTATGGACTGTGATACTGCCTGGATTCCCAGACCGAAGTAGGTAAGAGTTAAATAAATTGGGCGTTATATCATCATATAGGCTTATATATGTTGTATGTTTTCGATTTACATTCAGATGACTGGATAAAAACTTGATAAATTTCTCTATGGTGACTTTAAGAATTGTTCAAACTTATCCTTCGACACTGTTCTCTTTGATGTAATGTATTTTAACTACATCACCTCTCTTCTTTTTCCATTTTTTTACTTTTCTTTGCCTCATCAATATTAGTCTAGTGAAAATTATGAACAAATTAGTTTAGAGAGTAAAACACTAACAGAAAAACTACTCAATACACCATGGGAACAAATACAATCTACAAATTTAGCTGATACACGTGAAGGTTATGTATTTGTTGCTACAAAAAGTAAGTTGAGTTTAGATATTTAATGTCATTTGTTGGTTTTGTTGTTTCTAACCCAAATGGTTTAATCGGTATCATTATATTGTCGGTTTTGGCAACACATCATCATTAACATTGACTTAAGTGAGACCATAATTTATGAACGACCTTTGAGCGACTCTGAAGTGATCTAGAAAGTGTTCACCTAATAACCAGAACCAAATGAGGGTTATAAACCGGAGTGGAGAAATAGAATTGATTTACAGTTGACGGTTAGGGTTAAGAATTAGATTTAGGGTTTTCATCACGAACTGACATGAGTTGTAATGCCAAAACTCTATTTACCCAAATGGATGAATGGATTTCGCGTCAAAAATCCGAGACCTGTTATCTTATATGTGATTGGTTCGTATATAAATTATAGTCTCACCCTTACTTACTTATAGAAATGGACTTTTGATTTATTGCACAAGTATCAAACCAGTTCACTTTGATCACATTGTTTGTTATTAGTTGTTTTCATAGGCAGAGTTGTATACATCTATTGTTGTATTCAAGTTGACTATCTTTGTCCAGTTGAGTTCTGAATACACTGTTTGATTTCTTCTCCGTATGTATTGATAGGTTATATCTTTATACTAAAAATGATATCAATGTTCAATACTCATATAAATTTCTGTAAATCCTTATCATTTGTGGTAAGATGAAGATTTAAAGTGCCCACTCAGGTGATACGTTTGTCATTAGCCTAGTTGACATTACTTTTTGTATGTGGTTTAATTACACTGAAGTTTGTAATAAAATTAAGAAAAAATTATCTTTCAATGATAATTTCTTTCACCTAAGTGGACTTTCATTTTAATACTCTAGGAAATTAATATATACAGAAGTATTCATATTTTCTAAGGTTAAGAAATATATTTAAATAGATAAGTTTTAATAAGGTATCAGTAGGCCTCAACATACACAAGGGGAAAACCAAGGTCCTCAAATTCAAAACGGAGAACAGCAATCCAATCACTCTTGATGGCGAAACTCTGGAAGATGTAGAATCTTTCACATACCTGGGAAGCATCATCGATGAATAAGGAGGTTCAGATGCAGACGTAAAGGATTGGCAGAGCAACGAAAGCATTCCCACAATTGAAGAACATATGGAACTCAAAACGACTATCAACCAATATCAAAGTGAGAATCTTCAATACGAATGTCAAGGCAGTTCTACTGTACGGTGCTGAAACTTGGAGAACTTCAACAACCACCATCAAGAAGGTGCAAGTATTTATAAATAGCTGTCTACGCAAGATACTCAACATTCATTGGACGGATACCATCAGCAACAGCTTTTTGTGTGAGGGAACAAACCAACCTCCAGGTGAAGAGGAAATTAGGAAATGACGATGGAAATGGATAGGACATCACCAAACTGCATCGCGAGGCAATCCCTAACTTAGAATCGTGAAGGGAAACGGAAAAGCGGAAGGCCAAAGAACACATTACGTCGGGAAATAGAATCAGATGTGAAAAGGATGAATAACGACTAAAAAGAGCTAGAAAGGATTGCCCAAGACATGGTTGGGTGGAGGATGCTGGTGAGCGGCCTATGCTCTTTCACGAGGAGTAACAGGCGTAAGTAAGTAAGTATGTTTTAATAAGGCAACGTGTGTATATTCATCGACAAACCTCCTAAAGGACAACGTTTGTGTTGAGAACCGTCGATTATTATTCAAAAACATGTTCGGAAGCTAAGAAAATGCTGCACAAGCTTTGATCAATTAACTTTGGAGACGTTCAAGAGCGTTTTTTAAAAAAAATGATGAATTGTCTTAACATTGTCTTGATTGCATTACTATCGAATTTGTTTACGATTTCAACATGTTTTTCGGAAGCTTCTAGAATTCCAAGGTTTCATATAAATACTTTTGCTTTTTCCACATGAGTAGTTCTGAATTAAAAGATTTTTAAAGGGTAGAAAACAGTTTAGACGTATAGGCGTTCATGAATTAGGTGGATCATTTTAAGTTGGGACTCTTCTCGAGATCTGTGGACTCTATTCGATCCTACGTTATTTATTATTTACTTATTTGAACATATAAATATTGGTACAAGGAGTCACCGAATACATATGTGTCATACAAGTCACTTGATTTGTGTGTAGAATGTGATACAGTTCGGGTGCCCAGACCGAAGCAGATGTTTTTCTTAGGGAGCCACACCCCGAGCCTTTGACCTTAAGGTCTGATGAGCAAGGCAATGGAGCAACATCAGGAGATGCAGTCACATGGTAGCCGATGACCAACGATTGGCTCGTACTCTATTTGTTCCTTAAGGATCCTGGAACCCATATGCACCATTGGTTTGGAATCAGGGTTTTTCAACTTCCCCAGATGGATCCTACATATTTGATTTCTAATGGCTTTCTGAAAGGAAAACGATTTCATCATATGGGAAATGAATAAATACTTGTAAATAACCGTTTTAATCATGAAACTTGAACTTCAAAGTGAAATACTTTCTGTTTTGAACATTCACATTTTATATTCTATGAATTTCCATATTAAGCATCTTAATCGGTTTCTTTAAAAGAAAAAATAAAAGAAGTTCACTTTAACAGTGAGCTTATCTGTGATTAAAATCACTTGAATATATCAACCAAATCATTGTATCACATTACACTATTCTACAAATCATATGCATCGTACCTCCAGATTCCTTGTTGATCTATAACACTAATTAATCTAGAAAAATAAGTTCTGTTGACACTTGGGTTATTGATCTGTGATTGAAATATGCATATTACAAGATTAAATTAAATTCATTTATTACTTACACTACTATTTAAGTAGTTATTATGTTGAATCTATCTGTATATAACAACATAAGTTCATTTTAGTTTCTTTCAGCCTTCTCAATTTATAACTGTAATGATATGTCATTCAGTTTATCAATAACTAAGTATATTAAAATATAGTTTACCCCCTGTGCTAAGATAATTAGTGAAGATAAACTTAGTTAGTTAATGTGTTATGTATGTTGAGTCAGTGTCTGCTTTGATAGACTATGCTAGATGTCCTGGAGAAAGTCTTGAGATGACTATAATAAGATATGGCATCAGTGTAGTAAACAAGAACACAAGCGGGAACAATAAAATGTATTTGAACACAACATTACACTATTTCTTAGTAAAATCTGAGAACCATACATTAAATACTTCATTTGCAAAATATCAATCAATCGTTTCTGAATTGACTATTCTTTTATTTCCACAGCAATCATTCTCTATTCTCGTTCTCTTTTCTTTGATCTTTTTAACCTTTCGCCACCAGGTATTTCACTATCGATTGATCATACACACTACTTATATCTGTCGACATCAGTAGTACACACTACGTCAGTACAATAAATCATCCGCTGTTGGTTTGAGCTCAGGATAAAATATAAGCTCCTTGATTGAAAACTATGTATGGTTGTGCTTTTCAATACAATCAAATGTTATCACTAACTATGTATATCAGTTTATATCTAACTGTCTGCCATATTGGTTCACTAAAATCGGGGGGTTCGTTATTCTGTATTCGTGTGATCTGGTAACATGAATAAAGACAGAATTACTCCGTAGTTAGCCACAATTTCTACATAAAACAATGTTGTCCAAATTTCCTGAGGCACCTAAATTTTTAATCGCTTTAGAAAATGTTTGTTTTGTACACTTATTTACTTCTCTATTAAATAAACTGGTTAATAGATTATTTCGACTGTTTCATATCCAACTGATCATTCTCAGAATTGTTCTATTTTCCATAAAATACAAAGCAAACGAATAAATGATTCACTGGTCATTCCCAGCTAAACCACCATAGAAAACCTGGAAGAACTGGATGGCCGTTTCGTCCTTACACGGGACTCCTCAGTAATGTTCATCCAAGATCCCGCATGCAGGACTCGAACTCAGTTTTGATTATTTATTCGGTCACTTATTTCATGATTACTTTATTTTACTAAATCCTATTGCTATTGTCTTGTGTGTTGCCCCCCCACCCTCTATCTTGTTTAGAAGCTGTTATGACAATTTGGACAAAAAATTTCTGTACATATAATCGTAATAGTAAAATATTAAAGCTTACACCCTATACTCAATATCAAGACAATGATAATGTAAGTCTATTCATTTGATTATTTCGTTTGATTCTAATAATTAGCGTTTATAAAAGAGGTTTGAACAAAAATTACTCTTTCTTAATGAACCGATCAGGATCAGGATCTGAATTTTAGCTTTCTGCGCAAAATTCAAAAAATATATCCATCTATCAATGTTCTATTGCTGCAAACACCTAAAACTAGTACAAAAGATTCTTTTGTGTTGTATGAATTCAAAAACATACTAGCTGCACACTTCCCCTAATGTGAAAGGGCGGCCTGCTTGAGCATCTGGGCTACCTGTTCCTGCCATCTAGATATTTCAACAAGTTATCTATTTTTGTTTGTTTTAATATATTCCATTATGTCTATTCATCGCATAACCTATTCTGCTGCGTTTCTGAAAAGTGTAAAACCTTTCGTTGTCAAAGCTACAAAAAACTCAATAAGAGACAATGTGGTTGCTGGCAATATACAGCGAAAAGAATGCACATTATTCAGATGTTCATTTACTGAACTGCTAACATCTAACTGGCGATCACTCAATATTTATCGCCAGGACCGACCAAGAAGAAAGAAACGGAAACTTGTTGAAATACTTCACGCTGAGAATTCTATATTGTACCAAAAATATAATATTGAATAAAGCTGATGATAATAATAAATAAAAAAAATTTACTTAACACATGAATGATGAAACCTGGGAAAGAAACTGCATTAAGAGTGGTCTTGACAACTTAGAAATGTGACTATAGAGCTCCATGTATAATAATATAAGGCCAGTTACGCATAGAATCTTTCAATTACTTAATCTGTTAGCTAAGTACTTCAAAAACTTTACAGATAGTAAAGGAAATTCGTGGGACAATGCGAGTTTTGTTATTTTTATGAGCTACTTCTTTTATCCGTGCTTATTGCAGGAACACTGCTTCAGTTAAGATGGTGGTTGTTTGGTGAAGATACCTTTCTGGCGCGCATCTCATTACAGTTAGCAGTGAAGCTTTATCTTGGGATTTTAAGTTACTGCCTGTGATCTAACTGTTTTCCAACAAACCTTTCTGTCTAGATAAACCCTTACGAACGATGGTTTCAGGCAATATATTTTGATCATGTTGCCACGATATAGAACCATTACTACTACCTCATGTTAAAGGCTACAGCCAAATAAAGAAAATATAGAGAAGGATATCTGATTTTGTAATGGTGATTTTGACATACTGATGTTTGAGAAATTCATTTGCATACTTCTTACGATTGTATTTTTTTGTTGAACAAACAAATCTCTTTCATTGAAGAATACCGAAATATTGAATGTCATCTCTTGTAGAAGACGATCAAATGATTCTATTGATAGACGTTGGTGTTTTGATATTGAAGTATCAAAAAGGTAAGGATATATTGTTACGGTTTTTTTAAAAGGTTTTTTGTAAAATAAAATGATGCATGATTTTCAGTAAGAACTGTATAAGCATCTAAAATTTGTGTGAAATCAACTACAATTGTCAATAAGTTTAGTACTTATGAATTATTCTTGTATCATGCTAGGTTGCCAAAAAGACGCTAACCAGATTAAACAAACTAAACCATTTGAACTCTGCCCTGGGATTTGGAGAAAAAATTATGACGCCTCATGATAAAATCCGAGATTCTTCGGCAGTTACGAGGCCGATGACCCTTCTAGCAACCAGAAGAACAATTTTTACATGTACATGGATCGTCCGGACAATGTAAGGGAGCAGGAGAACCAGTCAGATAGCTACGGAAATGATGAGATACAACTTGGCGGTTCTCGGAATTAACAAAACCGATTTGACTCAAGCTGGATAGCTAGGGATAGGTGCGGGAGAGATGCTGCTGTACTCCGGTCACGAAGAGAAGAATGCTCCGCACACTCAGGAAGTTGCTCTGATGCTTTTCAAAGAGGCTCGAAATGCACTTATAGGATGGGAATCTCATGGACCCAAGATAATCAAAGGATTCTTCAAAACGAAGGACGTAATTACAATGAATGTTATCCAATGCTGTGCATCCACTAACAGTAGCAAAGACGACGATAAATGTCAGTTTTGCGAGAGGCTGAAATCGATCATGATAAAGTGCCCAGGAAACGTCCTGACTATCTTAACGGAAGATCTAAACCCCAAAGTCGGAATGCACAACAATGGATATAAAGATATCATGGGATTACTGACTGGGAGAAAGGGATGAGAATGGCAAGCTACATGGGTCTCATCGGATCACACCACGGAGAACCAGATCGATCATATTTGTATCAGAAGAAACTTCACAAAGTCAATGTAAGACGTGAGAACCAGGAGAGAAGCTAGTATAGCTTCAGATCACCACTAGCTAGTGGTTGCCAAGATGAAACTGAAGCTTAAGAAGCACTGGACAAATGGACAAGCAGCATTATAAAGGTTCAATATAGCATTCTTTCGAGATACTGATAAACCCAACGAATTCAAGATAACTCTCAACAGCAGGTTCAAAGCCTTACAAGATCTACTCAAGGAAGAAAATACTGTGGGCGAAAACTGCAGAGGAATGAAAAAAAAGGTTATGGGCTGCAAGAAACATCATCATAAGGAATGGATGTCTATGGAAACCCTGGACAAGATTCAAGAAAGGAAGAAGAACAAGAAGACAGTAATTTAACAACAGTCGAACAAGAATAGAGAACGTTGAGGCACAAGCTGAATACACATTAGCAAACAAGAGAGTGAAGAAGTGTATTAGAGCTGACAGGCAGAAATATGTGGAAGTCCTAGCAACGACAGCGGAAAAACCTGCAAGACAAGGAAATATCAATCAACTATATGACACAACGAGGAAACTGGTACGGAAATATAGTGAACCAGAGAGACCGGTCAATAACAAAGAATGCAAAACAATCACTGAGGTTCAAGAACAGAGGAACAGATGGATGGAATGCTTCGAAGAACTCTTGAATAGACCAGCTCCATTGGATTCACCGGACATCGAAGCATCACCTACAGAGCTTCTTATAGATGCCATTCCACCAATGATCGAAGAAATCAGGATGGTCGGACATCAGATAAATCAAGGGTGAGAAGGCAATCGGACCTGACAGTATAGCAGCTAAAGCACTGAAATCAGACATAGAAGTAACAACAAACATGCTTCACACTCTATTCATGAAGATCTGAAAGGAAGAACAAGTGCCGATGGACTGGAAAGAAGAACACCTCATCAAGATACCAAAGAAAAGAGATCTGAGCGAATGTGAGAACTAACTACAGCGGCATCACGCTACTGTCAGTACCAGGAAAGGTTTCCAACAGAGCGTTGCTGAACCGGATGAAAGATTCAGTAGACGCCCAACTTCGAGGTCAACAGGCTGGATTTCGTAAGGATCGATTGTGTCCAGATAGAACCGCGAAACTACGGATTATCGTTGAACAATCAATTTACTCGAACCTACCACCATACATCAACTTCCTTGACTGTGAGGAAGCATTTGACAGCATGAATAAGAGGACCTTATGGAACCTTTTTCGTCACCCTGGAGTACCTGAAAAAAATAATCGAAATCATCCGGAATTCATACGACGGACTACACTGCAAAGTGGTGCATGGAGAACAGCTGATAGATGCATTAGATATTTTTACTGTTTTTAAACCTTTCAGTGTTTTGTTTTGATTGACTTATTTGTAAGTCACATTATGTATAGTTGAGTCTTAAGAACCCTGTATGACGAAGGATGGAATGCAATTAAATACAGAAATTACTGTATCAGTCCAAAAACCTGCATTTTTTGTTTTATATCGGTTCAGTTAATGTACACTTCGCCAAATGGATGACAGTTATTCACATTCTTTGAATTGTAAACGTTACGTCTTGAATAATGAAAAAAAAGTTTTACCCTCGGGAAAAATATTTGCTTTTCTCTTCTATTGTTTTGTAAATCACGGTAAAAGTCTACCATACTGATGACCATAAGCAACTTATCAACCTGTTAGAAAATTGTTTAGTTATGTAATTTCTTACAATAAGAAGTAGTAAGTTTTAGAGTATAAACAGTCTTCACATGAACAATAATGATAGAAAAGGGGTCAAGGTCAACTATTATAAGTTGAGTCAAAGTTATGAGTTAGGGTTAAGTGAGTTTCTGTTAGAAATTAAGATTATAAAGTTTAGAGTGGGAAAATGCTTTTCATCCACATAAATATCCTTGACTATACATTACATCATATCAAGTACTCTAAGTTATAATTCCCATTAGGAGGAGGTATTTCTTTAGTTTCTTAGTTTCTAATAAGGTACAGAATATTCCCCCCCCCCAATGCACCTTAGATTTCACTCTCAAACTCAGAAGGCGCTATCTTAAATCTGACTTGTTCATCACTATACTATACTTTTATCCGATCATACTTATGTAACCATACATTCTGTATCTTGTCATCGTTTTTATTTTATTTAAACTAACAGATCTACTCCACTTACTTTACAAGCACAATGCTTGGATGATCTTCATGAATGGCTTCTTGTAATGGATGGAAAAGAGCCAGTAAGTTATTTAATTCTAATGAAAAGCGAATTTTCCGTGGAAATTGCATGTAATTACATTTTAATATTTTTTGCACTCGGTGCTTCCAGTAAATTGAACAGTAGATGGTTTCAGGTTGTATTACTTAGCGGTGCCGATCTCCGACCTGTAATTCTGGCTGATATAATGGGTTTGAAAATAGCTAACAGTTAGTAGAGGAACATATAAAATCATTCTGTGAGATCATCGAGTTGTTCACTGTTAGTCTTATCAAAAGGTGCAGACTTCATAGTTGACTCCTACACAATACTAGTGATCGATATTTAAAGACATAAGGTAATATGTTAGAAATTGGTTATGATGGTGCTTTCATTTTTTTATCGTCCCTTAAATTTCACGTTCCAGTATTACTACATTTTCACATTGTCCACTTATCGACTTAGAATACGCAGATGACATAGTTTTGTTTGGTGAAGACGCTGATAAAATGCAGAGTCTTTTGGTAGCACTAAGTAACAATGCCAGAATGTTTGGAATGCGCTTCTCTCCCTCTAAATGCAAGTTGTTGCTTCAGGACTGGTCTGCGTTAACACCTGAACTAAGGATAGGGAGTGAAGTAGTCGAACGCGTTGACAACTTCACTTATCTTGGAAGTCTGATCAGCTCTAATGGGTTAGTGTCTGACAAAATCTCCGCACGGATTCGAAAAGCTCGCTTGGCTTTTGCCAACTTGCGTCACCTATGGCGAAGGCGAGATATCCGTCTATCAATAAAAGGACGAGTATACTGCGCGGCAGTCCGTTCTGTTCTACTTTACGGCAGCGAAACATGGCCATTAAGAGTAGAAGACACTCGTAAGCTACTAGTATTTGTCCACAGATGCCTCAGAAATATTGCTGGCGTCTGCTGGGATCACCGGGTAAGTAATAGTGAGGTTAGACACAGGGTATTAGGGAATGATGGTAAATCAGTTGATGAGGTTGTGAATCTTCATTGACTGAGATGGTTGGGCCACGTGTTGCGTATGCCCGAACACCGATTACCACGACGTGCAATGCTATTTGGTGTTCGGGATGGTTGGAAGAAAGTTAGGGGCGGCCAAACCAGTGCTTGAAGTCACTAACTTCATGTATGAGCCATGTTGGTAGATGCAGACTACTTGGTTGGGGTCCGCGTGACTATCGTAACCAATGGTTGGAGACTCTTGGTGACATGGTTCAGAATCGATCACAATGGCGTCGGTGTAAACACTCTCTGTCTTCCTTTAAACTAAGAGATTAAAATCGCTTCATATCTTTCTTTCTACGCACTAATTCTTTCTTCGTGTACTATATCCTTATTGCAATCTTTCTTTTATATATTACCACCTTTGAATTAACTACTTTTATGAATCCGGTGTTCATCTTGTTGTGTTAGTGAGGTTGAGGTATGGCAACTTGGATCGATGCATATATGTGCCTAGTTCTACGTTGTAGCTGACTGACTGACTGACTGACTGACTGACTGAAATTGTATTCTTTGTATTCAGTACTTCTTGTGATCACTGTTATCAAAGACTGACTGCTATTATTTCGACTATGCTGCTATTCACTTCGTTGATTTTATTTCACCGTGTTGATGTAAAGTGCATTTACAAACATGGATCAGATTAACAGTGGACGACTTCCTAGACTGACTCTGTGTTTTGGTTTGACCACTTCTAGCTTTTTTCCAGCTGGTTCCTACTTCAGCCAACAGTACATGTTGACGCAGGCCATGGTTGGGCATACTTAACAGATGTCCTTACTACCTCGGTCGATAAACATTTATAATCCCATCAAATAATTTCCCATCTCTATCTATTGCCCTGCGCCTAACCACTGCAATGCTCATTAGGTCGTTACACAATACATGAGCAATACTTCGAAGGTACCTTTATGGTGAAACATGTATATTATCATTGATATTAGTAATCATTGATTTAATATTAAGGTTTCCACTCAAATTACCACTGCATATTTATCCATCTTACGAGTTTGTAGGAAATATAATTTCGCAACACGAAGTTAGCTGATATGTCTTCTCTGATGTTCTCCGAAGCATTCGAGTTTTTTTTCCCTTAGTTGTACAATTGTATTTTGAAACTAGTTTCATCAGTCATTTAATTTCTTTATGATTGATACTGTTTGTACTTCATTGAAAAATCATCTTTATGATGTCGTCAGTAAACCTTCTCGGTGTTCAAGTACTTTTTTATTTCTTTTGTCTTGTATTAGATTTATGAAGATAGACGTGTTTGCCTCCATGAATCAGATAATAGTAAGTGTTTTTTCGAAGTGTACTTAGATTGGTTGTTGGTAATAACGATATTCGGCTAAATTTCTGATAGAACTGTATGTAACCGAGGTACGTTCTCAAGACTAATTTGTAAGTAGTTTCCATCGTCAATATTAAAATCAGTTGGTGTGCTAGTAATAAACCATGATGCCCTAGACAACTTTTACGTACCAAGCTGAGACTCATAAGCAGCGCGAATTCTTGACCAGTCCAGTTGTTGTACCTAAGATCTAGTATCACGACCAATGTGTTACCTTTAGACTATTGATTTGGAGTCCAATTTTCCGTATTCCTAACTTTAATTAACTGAGGATGTAATTCAACAATCATTCAATCCAATTGACAATGTCTATAAAATTCCCGACACTATTGAGCTTTACTTGTCACGATTTCATGAAGATTTATAAAGAGCTCAGAACATGAAGTTCAAATAAACTATTCCGATGTACATATATGTTTTATCACATTCCAAATGTTGAATGATGTTCTTTCCATTCTCACATAATTCCTTAATGTTATTATTACAGTATTTATTTATATATTTACAAAATTCACCTTTCATCTCTTCATTTCTTTGATTCGTTACTGAATTTTATCACTTTTTGGGATCAAGTCTCAGTGATTAACCATTCTAGTTTTCAGTCATATTGTCTATGGTTCGAACCACATGTCAAATACAACTATATGAATAAATTGAAATCATGAGTCAATTGAAGCTAGACCATCAGGGAAAACCTGGAAGCACTGGACGGCCGTTTCGTCTTAGTATGGGACTCGTCAGTAGTGCGCACCCACGATCCCGCACCCCGCGAGTGGAGTTCAACCAGGTCTGTTGTAAGGTATTAGCTCACTGAAGACAATGGTATATGGTGGCTCAACTTCGTGGATTGGTTGAAGTTAGACATTAACACCATTGGATACCGGCTGAGTGGTCTAGTTGGTTAAGCGCCTGGCGCGAGACGTATAGGTCCTGGGTTCGAATCCCGCAGGGTACGGGATCGTGGATGCGCACTGCTCAGGAGTCCCATGCTAGGACGAAACGGCCGTTCAGTGCTTCCAGGTTTCCCATGATGCTCTACCTTCAATTGACTCATGATTTCAATCTGTGAAGTTTCTAAAAATCTCCACAAACCCCTTCTGATAACTATATGAATAATCGATTAGTATTAATTATTTAATAGTCGAGTCAATCACTGTACTATACTAGCTATCCATACATTTATGTGTATAATCGTCAATAAGTTAACTAACTTAGTGAAATCCGTAGTTAACATTTGCATAAAGTTTTTAACCAATTAGTTCTGTTTATTCACTAGTTTTTTTTTCGGGTATGTTCCATAATGTAGAAATGTTGTTGTAGTTTAACGTTTAAACATTCAATTTCACAGTAAAACAGATTTTTATCGTGTTTCGTTTAGCTACTATAGATATGCATTATGTGTAGATATGTTAGTCGATTCATGCTTTGTATTTAATTGATGTATTATATTGGAATGAAAATCAGGTGCTTAATAGTGATTAGCTCTCAGAGGTAAGTCTCGGAGTTTTAATAGGATGTTGTGACTAGCGGAGCTCAACCGTGTCGAGTGTGAGACAATAGAAAATGGTCGTGCAATATTGTGGATTAATTGAAGTTAAACATCAACGCTGTTGAATGCTTGCTCAGTGGTCTGAATGTTAAGCGTTCACGTGAGACTGATGTTCCTAGGTTCGAGTCCTGCTTGCAGAGTCGTGGACGCGCAATGCTGAGAAGTTTCATATTAAGGCGAAATGGCCGTCCAGTACTTCCAGGTTCTCAATGGTGGTCTAATATTAATGGGTTCATGATCTCAATTTAAAAAAATTTATTTGTTCCCTTGTGTTTCAACTTAACTCATTAACTTATTCGTACTCAAATGAAATTTTATCGTGAATCAATCAAGGTTGGAGTCTGTCGTCTGGTAGTTAGAAATCAATTGTTTTAATAAGTGAATCACAATTTCATTATGAATGTGACCGATTCAGTCTGATCAATGATATGTTCTTCAACTCTTATGTTTGCTAACTGGTTATCAGAAAACGAGACGACTACTCGGCTTTTCCAAAGAACTTGTATTCAGATATTAATTGAAACTTATTTATGATTGCGGCGTGTGATTTGCCATCGTTGACTTGAAGAACTGAATTGGTCATTCTACCCTTAAAACTAGTCAAAAGTTATATTTGAGGTTTAGATTTGGAAAGGTTCTGTTTAAATTTATTGACTTGGACCTGTGAGTCAGCTTTTGATTGTCGAAGAGCTCAAATTGGTCAGTAGATCAAATATAGGTTACTAATGGAGACTAAACGGTTTTGTCTCTTATTAATGATTGGTGTATACCTGCAAAACATCAATCCCCAATGCCGCTGTAGTTTGTTGGCATTGGTCATTTGAATCCTTGATTGGTGCAGATTAGGGAAGCCTAATATGAATATCTGTTTGAGTAATTACACCAAACATAAAATGCGTAGGTCAGTGATGTTCTGCCATTTGTCTATTTGTCGTTAACAAATTGTAGTCTGTGTTTGATGTATCGCCTTGGGACGAGTAGGCGAATCGAAAGTTGAGCGGTGAAATTCAATCAGCAATAAAGATACAGGAGTGATTATTTTTAAGTGATCATTCATTGTGAATGTCTTAGTCTTGTAGAAGTCAAGTGGTGGCGCTAGTTACATCTCAAATTCGTGATGATACAGATTTCCATAGGTTCCAATCCGGCGTTGGACAATATTTCCTTAAATATTGCTGATGTGCTTGGCTTATGTTACATAACTAGCATAAAACCTATGTCAGTAGTACTGTGGTGTGTGCTACTTATACTGACATAAGTAGTATATGACGTTACTCGTGAACGGATGGTCTGGGAGCAGAGAGACAAGAGGATCGAACAGTAAAGAATGGAAACAGAATGCAATTTGTATGAAAATGCAAGAACAATGAAGTCTGAGTTATTATGAGACAATTGATGGACATTTTGCAAATTATGTATTTACTATTTGATTGTTAGATTTCATTAACAAGTCCTGTAATTTTGAGTCAAATACATTCGATTGTTCCCACCCGTGTTCTGTTCACTACAGTACTTCATTTTTGTATTGGTTGCTTGAAACTTCCCATTGATTTTTAGGACTACAATTGATTAGTCTCTTATTGGCATATGTGCATCTTGTGCGGATCGCCTCGATATTGCTTTCAATTACATCAACTCTGGGATGCAGGTACATCCAGCTGATGAGTCTTGAATGGGACGAAACACGAGTCCTGAATTTCACTGCTAGCCACTATCATCCTAGGTCAATAGTATTCTACTGATTATCTCTCACCATCAAGTCTTGTCTTAGACATATAGCTCAGTAACTCACTTTTTCATTTTGTGTAAATTCTTTATTATTTCGGTTTTTTTCGCCTTTCCTTTTCCAGTTCAATTAAACGACAAAAGTTATGAATTTCTACTCAATTTAATTCATGCAATTGAAAAAAATGGTAAGCAGTTATTTTTCTTCCATATTCGTTTAAATCTACTATTGTTTATTGAAAAGTGTGTGTTGAACAACTTCCGAATTAAGTTCACATATATTTATATTGTTTTAGTGAATACACTCACTAGTGACTGTCTTTAAGAGGTATTTCATGGAGTTCTAGTGAGAAGCAGTGACCAGTGGAGTTCAGACGAGTCTGTTGTGAGATAATAACTCACTGAAGACAATGGTGGACAGTGGCTAAATTCCATGGATAAGTTGAAATTAAACATTAACACCGTTGGATGCCGACCAACTCAGTGGTCTAGAGGTTAAGCGCTCGTGCGCGAGACGTATAGGTTCTGGGTTCGAATCTCGTGAGGCGGGATCGTGGATGCGCACTACTAACGAGTCCAATATTAGGACGAAATGGCCGTCCAGTGCTTCCAGGTCCAGCTTCAATTGACTCATGATCTCAACCATTGAAATTTTTAATGAATAGTTTACTTGATTCTTATCGGTTGTTTGAAAAGACAGTATCTTGTTTTGTCTTAATTATAATGACCTTACATTGACTATTCAATGTATATTGTACACTGACATTATTATAATTGTCTAGGGCATGAAAATGTTGATTAGCATTCTGTTCATGTATCAGGTTACTCAATATCAGGAATACCTAGTTAATTAGTCGGTTATATGTGAAATGTGATCATGTGATCTTTATCTGAATTATAGATAGTTTGATATTGAAATAAATATTTAAAAATGTCAGTATTTACATGTAAGATAGTCAATATTGTTGAATTGTGACCACGGTTACATTTTGAAAAATACCAGAAAATATACAATAGTCTCTAGGGTTTAATTTTAATCTCATTATTGATTTTGTATTGAAATAAACAAAGTATTTGTAATGTTTCTTAGGAGACTGATTCTTGCACTTATAATGTTTGATAGTTTAAGGGATATCCAAATAGTGGAGAAGATTTATAGCTCAGGTGAATGATTTTGATGAAGTTTTGTTCTCTGAGCTAGATGGTTTGATCGTGTATTCATCAAAAAGGATATCCAAATGATAATATGCCGAATCATTTAGAAATGCATCACCTATCCAAAGCATGTGTGAATTGAATTACTCAAGTTTTTCTTTGAGAATGTAGCTAAAAAGTAATAATCGATGACTCGACATATTTAATTGAGCCAACTTTAGTCACCTGTCCTTCAATCACTGAATAATCGGAAGAAGTTGCATTACCTTTAGTTTCTTTTTCTATGAAATATACAAAGTGAAGTTGTAAATCGTTCATTTTACTAAAAGTTAAAAGTACGGCCGCTCCACTAATAAGGAAGAAATATTTGTTAAGTTATTGTTGGTTTTCAAAGGTTGCTTAACTACGATCAGTCTGTTTTGCATCAATGAAAGTTTAAAGTAATTGGCTTAACACTTTAGATCATCCTTTCAACTCATTATACTTAATTTCTTGAGATTTCTTTTTGGAGTCACAATATGAAATGGTCATGAGAAGGTGGTAGCACTTGGGAGATATGGTATTGGTAACTTGAATACTACTTCTGATTCGTCTTACTCGGAACGGAACGAAGAATCAAGGATTCAGAGACTCGATAGGCTATACTGGTCCGTTGTCTCCGACTCAGCTAACTCGATCCAGAAGTCTTGGTAAGATGTAGAAAGTGTATTCTACAGACAAACAGAAGATACTAGGTCCATCAAGCACACAAATCAAGCGTATTTATACAAAAAATATATAATCGATATTGTCATGGAATTTTTTAAACATTTAATCGAAAAGTTCGTCAATCGACTATATGCGTGGGTGGTAAGAAATGCCCAAGCATACATCTCTATACAAGCTCCACAAAGATAAAATTACAAAATATGAGTTTTGGGGATCTAACGTCCCCAACAGTAACACCTGAAATAACGAGGTAGCTAAAGAGATTAACTTCTAAGGATTTTCATAGATTTTTTTCTAACCAATGAAAATAGAGATAGGATGGATTGGTTGACACAAATGAAGAGTAATTTTCAAAGTGGATAAAAATGATGGATCGTAAATTTATTAAAAGAGATTTTTCTTAACCGTCATCTACATATTTATTGGACAGATATATATGTTTTTGTCCCCTTACTCTTCAAATGGTTGGTTCGATACAAATCATTGTACATACGATCCCGGAAGATATATTACTTTAATGTATCTCAGTTACGAATCATACGTACATATCCCTCGTTGCGGTGTATTTTTAAAGTGGTGGTTTTAAGTTCCAAACATCTAACTTTCTGTTATTCAGTAACATATTTGAACGCCACTCCTCAGCTACCTTGATCATAAACCGATCGATGTTAGACGATCATTGCAAACCTGGAAACATTGCACAGCGATTCCGTCCTAGTATCGGACTCCTTAGCAGTGTGCATCCACGATCCCGTGCACAAGACTCGAACCTAGGACCGTCGTTCTCGCGTGCGAACGCTTAACTTCTATTATTTTTAAACCTCTCTCTCTTTCTTACATACTCAAAAAACTGTATAGATCATTGTTGGGTGCATAAATCTATAGTAAATATACAATACTTCTAGACCGTCGTTGCAGATTTATGGTGATTAGTATGTAAATCACAAGATCCAATTCTAAACTTTTTCGAAAAACTATCTCTTAACTTATGCGTGACTTGTTTTCGTTAACTTTGTGGACAAATTTTATTGTATTCTCAGTTTATCTTTTTTTGTTTCAGGTATTCAAGTTGAAGGAATCTATAGAACATGTGGGGTGAAATCTAAAGTTGCCAGTCTGATTAAACAAGCTCTATGTAAGTTTTAAAATCTGTTGTCATAATCGACTTTTCAATCATTAGCACAAATGTATATCAGTTCAATTTATCACACTTCACATTAACATTATGAGAAAAAAGCAAGTTCAACTATATAAGAGGCTGTAAGAAAATACCGTATGTAGCTTCGCAGTCTTCATCGTATGATGTCTCAAATTGATTGTTCTTGAAATTGTGGATCATTTATATTTCAACTCGGTGGTCTGAAAATGCCGCGTAGTACGAAATCAAAATGTCATGTATCCAACCCTTGCCAGGGTCGGTGTTTCGGACTTTTTTAATCGACCTACACTAAGACAAGAAACTTACTGTTCAATTGTTCCTAATCTTTGAATAGTTCTTCAAATTTTATCAAATCAAAATCAAAACCTTGTTTTAATTTATGTGATAGTGGAAAGTAGACATGTGAAATATATTTTTACAGTTGAATTCACAAGTCGATCTAAGCTAGACTACCATTGAAAACCTGGAAGCATTAGACGGTCGTTTCGTCCTCGTATGGGACTCCTGAGCAGCGTGTATTTATTTATTATTATTTATTTTAACACATAGATATTGGTACAAGGTGGCACCAAATACATATGTGCCACACAAATCTCATTTGATATGTGTGAGGGCTGTGATACTGCTCGGGTGCCCAGACGGAAGCAGGTGGTTTTCTTAGGGGGCCAAACCCCGAGTCTTTGACCTGAAGGACTGATCCACAAGGCAGTGGCGCAATGTGAGGAGATGCTGTCCCATGGTAGCCGGTGACCAACGATTGGTTCATATGCCATTTGTTCCTTCAGAATACTGGAGGACATGTGCACCATTGGTTTGGAATCAGGGTTTTCCAACTCCCCTAGGTAGACTCTCCATGTCCACCAACCCGGTTAAATTGCTGGACATTCGCTGGTCGTTCTCTTGATTTCACAAACAACACCCCGGCCACGAGAAGGCAATGAGTAGGACTTCCCTGGCAAAGGCTACATACGCGTGGCCATGTGAGAGCATTTCGAGAGAGGGGGAGTGCGGACTCAGCCACTCTCAGCCGTACCAGGAGGCGAGCAGCGTGTATTCGCGATCCCGCATGTAAAACTCGAAGTAAATTGTAGTTAAAAATTCACGAATTATATAACGATAATTATAATGTTTAGGATTATGCTAAGCTTGTAATTTAAAGGTTGATAAAAAGTGAATACATCTACGTCACTGACTCCAAGTTTGCATTCCATTATGAGACATCTACTGTAGATTACGATTATCTTGGACGGAATTTAACTACAGTTGTAATGAAAAAGTAAATGCAGTTTTTGATATTGTGAAGTGGATCTAATAGTTTAATACTGTTTGAGCATAGTATGTATAAGTTGCTGTATCTTCAAAAGAGACAAATATTTGAATTTTATTGGTCATGTAATCTAGTCGTTTATTATGAAAACAGTTGTCGTATCTAATTCGCTTATTGATTTATTAACTTTTATTGTTTGTATCGCCGATGTCTTTCTGTTTTACCAATGATACTGGTCAGTGAATAATAACCCAAGACCGTAGCTTTTATTAATCTTCGAGCTCTTCCTCCCAACCTCATTACACAATCGGAAAACTAAGTTATACATGGCTCAGAATTTTTACAGTTATATACCTCAAATATCTGATTTTTCAGCAACACAAATAGGAAACTACAATACATAAACAACTCAGTCATAAGTAACTCAAAAATGTCACAACAGTGAAAAATTAATTACTGATAAATCTGAAATAATACGTTAGATAACATCGGTTTATGAATCAAATGCAATGGTAATTACTTTGTGCTCACTAGGGAATAGCTTCATGAGGGAATTCTCGGAGTTCTAGTGAGAAACCGTGACCAGTAGAGCTAATCCATGTCAGGTAGAGACAGGTATCTACGTCACTGCAATGGAAGATGTTCTTACAATTTCTTGGATCTGTTGAGGTTAGACATTAACATCGTTGGATGCCTTCTCAGTGGTCCAGATGTTAAGTGTTCGCGCGCGATACCGAAGTTCCTGGGTTCGAATCCCGCGAGCAGAATCGTGGATGGGCACTGCTGAGTAGTAGGGGGCGAAACGGCTGTCCAGTGCTTCCAGCTTTTCAATGGTGGTCTAACATCAATCGATTCACAATCTCAATCCAAAATTTAATAATCTCTGCACAACCCTATACTGAAAGCTTTTAAATAGGTGCATATAAAAATCCAGTAATTCAGGCGTTAAATAATTTTTCAATAAAAATACGAATAATAATTTCCTTTAGGATAGTTAATATAAGTTCAACCTTACTCAGATCCTGTTCTACATGACAAATGTATGTTCAGATACTAACTTACTTACCTACGCCTGTTACCCCCAATAGGGCATAGGCCGGCGACCAGCACTCCCTAACCCACTCTGTCCTAGGCCTTCCTTTCTATTTCTATCCAATTGTTGTTCATTCTTCTCATGTCTGTCTTCATTTCTCGGCTTATTGTGTCCTTTGGTCTTCCGCCTCTCCTTTGTCCTTGAGGATTTCAAGTGGGGGCTTGCCTTGTGATTCAGTTGGCTGCTTTCCTTAATATCTGTCCTATCCACTTCCAGCGCTTCGCCTGGAGCCTACTGCCGGTTCCAAGCCCAGATAAAGAAGGAGAGTTGGGCATGGGGTTAGCGACCTCATCCCGTTGAAAACTAACTCGCTAAAAAACACTAATCAGTAAAAATAATTCAAACCATTTAAACTCTGCCCTATGAGTTAGAACGTTTTCATTGAGAAGAGTTATGATGCCACATTGTGAAAGCCCAGTTCCTTTGGAAGTCACGAGGCTGACGCCTCTTCTAACAGCTAGAGCGACCATTAATTTGTGTACATGGAATGCTTGTACAATGTGGGAGGCCGAAAGAGTCTTCCAAATTGCTGCAGAATTAAGATACTAACTACCTTACTTTTTCTAATCTCTTCTAATCTTGACTGATTGTGTTATTTGTTTGAATTCATTGGTAACTCAGTCAGTCTCTCTGTGTGTGTGTGTATCTTCTGTCCGTTATTATAAGAAAGCATACGTGATTCATAATCATGAGAATTTCTTTAGTCACATGGTACACAACAATATTCTACACATGTTATAATTACTCGTCATAGAAACTATTCAATTCTATCAGCCTAAAATGTCGGCTTAAGTTTTTCATGAACCATATGTGGGCTATAAAATGATTAGCCTAATATTTATAAACTGATTAATCTAAGAATGTCGATTGATTAAGTTAACTTTAAATCTATTAATCAGATTAGTCAAATCCCACTAGCTACCTTAAACATTGATGTGTAAACTTGTAGTAATTTGGTTATATTACAAATGTACTTGATAAGTGTCAATCAGTATTTAATACTAAAAAAAAACAATACTTGATCTTGATGGAGTTTTGTTCTCTGAGCTGGATGGTTTGATCGTGCGGCTTTCATCGTTCTTCTGAACAACATCATCAGCACAAACTTCAGGCAGAATGGAAGTGTTCGAATTTCTCCATATGCGTTTCACAGCTTGTTCTGTACACCTCGATGTTGATTGGTTCTTATTGACCTTAAATTTGTACTTGATTACTACTCTATCCAGATACCGATTATAATGTAAACATTTGAGTCCTACTGAAAAGATTATTTGATATCTCTTTGATTACAGCACACTTGGTGACGTCATAGTATAATCTCTGTGACTATATCACTCTGTTGAGTTTTGTAGATTATTTCCAACTAATACATAGTCTCATCTCAGAGCTTCTTTACATATTGTTTCATGTTGATAGAGATAGCTAATGCATATACAAAGCAGATGAAAAAGGGATTATTCAATCGTCTAATAGTTTACTATTTACCTTAGTGATATATAAAGGATTGGTATATAGTAAGTTCATTACTTCTTCAGTGATACTAGATATAGTCAATAAATTAATATATTTATAATATCCCAATGAGTAGAAAAATTAAATTTTATAACGTTTCGTGACTTAGTGTAAGCCACTTCTTCAGAGTAAATAAATAACCAAATCAAAATGAATCCAAGTTCAAATAGTACAACGGAACAACACAAGAATATTATGTGCGATCAATCAACAACAAAAAACAGGTCTGAACAAATCAATGTTATGTCATTTCGGTCAAGGTGATCCATAAGTGACATGTATGTAAATTTTTGTGTGGGTGTGTCAAAACTATAATAATCACAAAAGCTGACAAAGGCAACACAACAGTGGTCATGAATAGAATAGATTATATCAATAAAGCTCTTGAACATCTCTCTCTACAGGACCATATGAAAAGATCGATCTGAAAAAAGTCTCTAACGATTAAAAATCAAATCAATTCAGGGACAAGTCAACTTTTGAAAGAACTAAAACGAGTCATTGGTGTCTCGTTATGGTTTCCTCTATATCCACTTTCACGTTTTTATGGTTTACCTAGAATTCATAAACCAGACATCCCTTTTAAGACCTGTAGTAGACTTCACGAACACACCAACATATGCACTATTGAAGTATCTGAGCGGCATATCAAGCCACTATAACTTAACTTACATAATTTTTGTGTGGGTGTGACAAACTATACTATTCACAAGAGCTGACAAAGGCAACAAGACAGTGGTCATGAATAAAAAAGACTATTTTAGTAGAACTATTGAACATCTCTCTACATGACTGTATGAAAAGATCGATCCGGAAATTCTCTAACGATTGAAAATGAAGTTAAATCAGAGACGTGTCAAATTTTGAAAGAACTAAAACCAGTCGTTGGTGTCTCGTTATGGTTTCCTCTATATCCACTTTCACGTTTTTATGGTTTACCTAGAATTCATAAACCAGACATCCCTTTTAAGACCTGTAGTAGACTTCACGAACACACCAACATATGCACTATTGAAGTATCTGAGCGGCATATCAAAGCCACTATAACTTAACTTACATAATATAATTAAAGATTCCTGTGACTTGAAATCAAAAATATCGGAATTAATTATCGAAAAGAATGAAGTCATGGCAAGTTATGATGTTGTGTCGTTATACACTAGTATTCCTATTGATAAATGCTTAGAATTCATTGGTGGTTTACTAGAGAACGATAATGCTCTTCCTGACAGATATCCTTTAAGCATTAGTCTAATCATGAAATCCTTAAAACTCTGCTTAAATTCGGCACTATTTACTTTTAACGAAACTTTATACAAAGAAACTAACGGTGTAGCAATGGGATCCCCCATATCCCCGATTGTAGTCAACCTGTTTATGGAACACATAGAATCGAATATTTTCGCCAATGACATTAAACCACGAATTTGGCTTAGATATGTAGATGATACCTTTGTTGTCATAAAAAAGGCTCATCTAAGATCTTTTTTCGAAACAGATCAATACACATTCATCGCACATCAAATTTACGAACGAGAATAAAAATAATCACGGTGAACTACCATTTTTAGATTGCTTAGTGAAAAGAAATCTAAGTGGAATTATAAATTGATCCATCTACCGAAAACCTACCCACTCTAATCGTTATATTGACTTTAATTCAGCACATCCATTCAATGCAAAGATCTCGCTAGCCCTAAATCTTTTTAGAAGAGCAAACAGGATTATCACATCGGAAGAGGATAAACAAAAAGAACAAACGAATGTAATTAGCATTGAATACAATTTAATAATTTTCCTACGAAAAGGTTTTTCCAATTACAAAGAACGGAGTGTAGCTGAAGTGTCCTATATAATGCTTAATCCTACTGCTTTCAATAGAAAAGAAGGCTTTATCATACATTCTACTTGGACTATCTATCCTAGCCACCTAGTCTGATATCATTCACAATTCACACTGTAGTGAACAAGAACACGGGTGGGGACAATCGATTGCATTTAGCACAGAAATTACAGACTGTCTCAATAAAATGTGAATACCATAAAGTCACTCGTCAATTTGCAAAATATCATTCCATCATATGAAACTGTACTGTTCCCGTTGCAAACACTAATCCATTGTCTCCCATTCCATTGTACATGCGTTTTCTTACAATTCCATTGTGCTCTTGCTCTTCCTTTCTTGATCTTCGCCATCTGCTGCTGCCGGACATTACGTTCTTTTAACGCACGTTATATACTACTTATATGAATATAAGTAGCTCACACCACAACACTATCATCTTACAAATTAAACTTTATCCTTTCTGACCATAAAGGTCACACATTTTTCATCCTTAACAGTGCACACATACACGCACACAAATTTACATTCATATCGCTTATGAATCACCTCGACACTGATTCGTTCGAACCTGTTTTTTGATTGATCACATAATGTTCTTGTGTTGTTCCGTTGTACTATTTAAACTTGGATTAATTTTAATTTGGCTATTTATTCTCTGAAGAAGTGCCTTACACTAAGTCACAAAACATCATAAAATTTAATTTTTCTACTCATTGGGATATTACAAGTATACTAATTTATTTATAACAATCCACCCAATGCTTAATTTATTCGGAATTATCAAGTCAAACCTTGGTAATCATAGCTAGATACAGTCAAATTTAATTTTATGGATAATCATTTGATATTCAAATGTATCTAGACTCCGACCGTTGTTGCTACTTTGATGTGGTAGTCGGGCTTGCCTATTGTGACCAACCAATCGAACTATGCTAACTGGAACAATCATTCCTCAAGGTTCTACCATGTCAGACAAGTCGGTTGAAAAATGGTAAGACTAAAAGCAGCAAAACCAAGGTCCGAGGGCGAAGTCAAACTGCTGACTGTACAGAGGTGTGACGGTAGTAAGATGTTTTCCTCAGACAACCAGCATAACAGCGATGTTGTCTTCTCTCAAAAGAAGGGTGGTTTAGAAAAAGTCTATCTCAATAAAGCGCACCTCACCTTATCCCACGGATATCTGTCTCTGGCGGTAAGGTCTCAACAAGTACGGAGCTAACACGGAAATTACTCACAAGAAGGTCGTGTGTGACCGACTTCAAGCAGTTATCCCTTGGGCACTGTGGTCACGCTTTCAGGTCACCAAGACCACCCCTAGCCCGATTTCCTTTTCACGTACCTCCAGAAGAACCCTTTTACGGTGTGGGCAACCGTGAAGTGATAATCACCCTCATTCCTCCAACAGCACTCTAGACTGTATCTAGACCACTGATTCATGTATACACTTTATTATTGTTTATTTTTTATGCATAATTCTTAAGCTCCATCAGGAATATCCAAGACGACTTTGTCAAATTATGAATTATGCGTTTTAACTGGTGCATTAAAAAGTTTTATTCGACAATTAGAAACTCCAATTATGACATTTCAATTACATGATTCATTCATGTCTGCAATGAGTAAGTTGTTAATATATATTTGTATATATATAAGTCGTTTGAAAACGATCTCTGTTTTAGTGACGGGCAAACTGCTTATTTTTTTGTGATGCCGTGATCTGACTCCGATTTGGACGAACGTATGAATATATTATGAACATAAATCTTCCATTTAACTCCGTATACTGCCTAGGCTAAACGCGTTTGTGTGACGGCGGCACCAAGAAGCTAGACATTCAGAATAAGGGGTAGAAAAGCGAAGCTGAGCGAGAGGACGAGTAAGCCCATTCTAGTTGATTAGGTATGACTTGGTATTTATAATTAGACAGGTGTATGATGAGTAGGATGTGCAATGCACATGCATACGCTCATATAAAAACAGTCAAGGTTAATAAACCAATTATTAACAAGGTCAAAATGTGACTTGAAAAGAGGGGGTAAATCGGTTGGTACGAGAGCTAGAATAACCCTTGTGGGCTTGACATTACAATGTATTTCATAGAAAAAAAGTCATAACTAAACATTCTGGTGGAGTTTTGTTCTCTGAGCTGGATGGTTTGGTCGTGGAGCTTTCATCGTTCTCCTGAACGACATCATCAGCACAAACTTCAGATAGAATTGAAGTGTTCGAATTTCTCCACATATGACTCTCAGCTTGTCCTGTAGACCTCGATCTTGATTGATTATTGCTGACCTTTAACCTATCATTGTATACTTCCTTTTTTTATTGTATCTCCCATTATTGATTTGTCTCTTGGTCTTATGGTTGACCATAATTTTCTGATTGGTCGATCATTGGAAGATACAATCAAAATAAAGTAAACAATGACAGGTTAAAAGTCAACAGTAATCAGTCAAGATCGAGGTCTACAGGAAAAGCTGGGAGTCATATGTGGAGAAATTCGAACCCTTCAATTCTGCCTGAAGTTTGTGCTGATGATGTCGTTTAGAATAACGATGAAAGCTCCATGACCAAATCATCCCCCTGAGCTACAAAACTTCTCCATCACAGTAAACATTCAGCAACTATATTCTTCTTCTATTATAGTATTTTAATATTGGATCTCGTTTGAATTGTTGTAATGTGATAGGTTTTAGTGAAATTTCGATAATTCTATGACAAGACGAAGTTTATCAGAATTATGTGGTATATTTGAGCAATACATTTCAAACGATCTGATCACACATATACTTGTTAAGACATTAAAAGGTTAACTAGACATATTAAAGGTAAGTCGTAACAAAGAAAACGAATAATAAGGTACACAAAAACAAAGTGATAACCACTCTGGATAATAAATCAGTATTACCAGGGTAGGTTAAGGATAAGGAAAAATTATTTTTGAACGCATGAAGGGGATTTCAATTTCCGTATCTCCAAGGCTTCAATAAATCTTAGTATAAGTCCTTAAAGGTTTTTGTATAACACTATAAATGCTGACTTGATGTCAACCTAGTGACCAGTCTCAATCAAACGTTTCGCAATTAAGGATGATGTCAGTCTATCCTGTTATGTTATTTGACCATTGGAATTCATTTGCTTCTGCAGCCATTTTGATATGTGTTCACTCACCCTTAATTGCAAATTACGATTGCTCCATCCTATGTACATGTTTCCATACATACATGTAAATTGATAGACACAATGAGATGTGACACAATCGCTTACGTGTTGTTTGGGCTTTTGGTGAAACACAGACCTTGTCTTCTCGATAGTGAAATTAAAAAAATCTGTACACATCACCTGATTTAACTAAAATTTTAATTCAAATAATGGTGTTATTTAGTTTGTTTTATTGTCATTGAATTGATTTGACTTTAAAAAAAAGCTCAACTACTCATCCATCTATACCATTTCTCACTTTGGTCTCTAACATTTTAGTTACCTGTTCGATGTACACATTCACAAATTGATCTCTATTGAAAAGAATATTTAGTAAAATATATCTTCATTACCATTAATTTATCTGTAAAAATTAAACAGGATATAGATATTACAATGATAGAGATCATGAGTCACTTAAAACTTGACCATCATGGAAAACCTGGAAGCACTAGACGGCACGCGAGGCTGATAGGTCCTATGTTCGGATCCCGCGAGGGGCAGGATCGTGGATGCGCACTGCTGAGGAGGAGTCCAACAATAGGACGAAACGGCTATCCAGTGCTTCCAAGTTTTTCATGATGGTCTAGCTTCAGTGAACTCATGATCTCAACCATTGGAATTACTACAATATCCACAAACCCTCTTCTGATCAGATATAGATATGGTTTACTATGAATTTAACATTTCTCAAAATAATGATAGTGATAATTAGATGTTAGAAAGAAGATGATTGAACAACTGTTCAATACATAAATGTAATTGATCTCAGCTATGGCTTTGTTCTGCTCTAATTTGAGGAACTTGAATACACAAACGTATATTTGTTTACTGAGTTAAGAGTATATGGTTTAAAAATTTGTTCATATATATATATATATATATATATATATATATATATATGTATACTACTTATGATTAAGTTTGTTCCAGTAACCTGTAGGAAAGTTATACGCTTACACCTCGACAATCATATTCCTGTTAATGTATATAATAGTTAATAACAAGTTCGCAATATATATTCAATGGCGTTTTGGACTAATATTAGTTAAAACGTCCAACTTTCAACCTATAAGTTACAGTTTTGAACCCTTTCTCTATTTTCCTGACTTGATTCTACCATATCACTAACATTTACATCATTGAAGTCTAACTGAAATTTAAAGTGTATACGATTTACATTGAATATTCATTGCCTATTCAATTAATTAATTAATGAATTTGTGTATTGTGTTTATTTATTGGATTGTTCTACTTGTTGTTACTGATTGTTTTCTCAATTTCAGAACGAGATAATGCTTATCGATTAACAGAGCTTAGTGCATTATTAAAATTGTTACCACCAGAAAATCAACGTACTTTAGACTTACTGATTAGACATTTATCAAGGTTTGTTAATTGCTATATCTCCTTTGTTGTTTTTCTTTTATAGATGTTATTACTATAGCTTAAATGTACTTTTTACTTGAATCTTTCCATGGATGTTTAAGATTGCAATTGATCAGTCTCTTATTGGCATATGTGCATACTGTGCGTATTACTTCGATAGTGCCTTAATTCACAAGCTTCATAAGTGAAGATGGATATTGGCTAGCAGTGGAATCCAGGACGCGCGTTTCGTCCTATTTAGAACTCATCATCTGGATGTATCTGCATCTCAGAGTTGATATTTACTCTCGGACTCGAACCCAGTACTGTCCGCTTCAAACGTCATCACATTATCACTGCTAACCACTATCCAACTTTGCTTATAATGGTCAAAGTAAATCTGTGTGAGACATTACTGTTTGGGTATAAAAAGTAAAAATAATTTGTCGTCAGTCATTTACAATGCAGGATCGGACACATATGCATCGGTCGAAGTTGCGACACCTCATTAGCACAACAAGATGAACACTGAATTCATCGAAGTAGTTACTTCAATGGTGGTAATATATAAAAGGAAGATTGTGTATGAGGATATGATATAAGGAGAAAGAGTTAATTCATAAAAATAAAGGTAAACATTAATTTCAATATCACAGTTTAAGGGAAGATAGAGAGTATGTACACTTACGCCATTGTGATCGATTCTGACCCATTTCATCCAGTCTCCAAACATTGGTTACTATAGTCGCACGAACCCCAACCAATTAGTCTGCATCTACCAATATGGCTAAGACTAGAAGTTAGTGACTTCAAGCACTGATGCCACGTTTTGGCCAGTTTGGCCACTCCTAACTTTCTTCCAACCATCCCCCACACTAGTCAGCATTGCGCGTCGTGGTAATCGGTGTTCAGGCATACGTAACACATGGCCCAACCACCTCAGTGAATAAAGATTTACAACCTCATCAACTGATTTACTGTCATTCCCTAATATCCTGAGTTTAACCTCACTGTTACTTACCTGATGATCACAACAGATGCTGGGATTTGTGTTCAGACTGTTTGAGAAATGAACAGAGTTAACTGTGGTTGTTTGGATAAGCAATCCGTGTTGAATGAATAGTTAGGCCTTGTTTTCCTTTGAAGAAGAAGGATGTTTCACCCATTCGCCTTTCTTCATAGTTGACTAAACCTTTTTGAATCATTTTAATACTTTATATCGATTTGGTGGTTATCGAACATACCATTTATCGCTATTGCAGATTTGATTTGTAGATTCTCCAATTCTACAGGAATATTTTGTGGTTGCTTAAGTGTTCCTTGGCATTAGTCGTCGAAAAAACTCTATTACATAATGTATTGAAATCAATACAACCTAGTCTGTAAACTCAATGCCGATTAGATGTAAATGGAATTTTTCCCTTGATTTCAAACTTGCACATTTCGAAGTGTTAGTTGTTTAGTAGTAAGGTTTAATTCTCAAAATACTTTGAAATTCTCCTGTCCTACCTTGGCTGTGAGACACAACTACTGTGCTATTTAAAGATAAATCGTAAGCTGCATACTATATTTTTTTCTCTTTGCTTATCTGTTCCTGACGTCGCTTTTCTGAACAGATTCAGAGCCAGGAAACTTTTCTTTTAGGATAGATGTGCAGAATATAAATCGATATATCTGTTTGAATGTGTTGGTTTTCTGTATATGGTTAAGTTTAGGTTTTCATCAGGATTCCGTCTAACTAAATGATTCAAGTACGGTACTTCACTATGTTCATACTCCTTTTCCAAAGTGAATTTGATATCTGGATACGTTTTTTTAATGGTAATAAATGTATCATTCACTTATCTGAGTCAATAAGTGGTTTGATGGTACTGGAGAAAATAAGTAACTCATTATGGGGCAAAAATAAACTAACAACAGTCGAAGACACTCTGTTGAAGTGGTTTCCATCAAGTCACGAAATGTCAAAAATTCAAATTTCAACACACTGAGATGTTACAAATATATCATTATTCTATTATCAAACTGTTCCTTCGTTTCATTTATGAACTCACTGCCTTTTCGTGGTGGGGGTGTTGTTTACGAAAATGGGAGGACGAAAAGCGAGTGTCCAGCGCTTTAACCGAATCCCAAACCAAATCAATGGTGCACATGGGCTCCAGTATCCTGAGGGACCAAATGGCGTGTGAACCAATCTTTGGTCACCGGCTTCGATGGGACTGGATCTCCTTACGATGCTCCACTGCCTTGTGGATCAGACCTTCAGGTCGAACGCTCGGGGAGTGGGTACCTAAGAAAACCACTTGCTTCGATTTGGGCACCCGGACAGTATCACAGCCCTCACACATATCGAGTGAGATTTGTGTGGCGCATATGTACTTGGTGCCTCCTTATAATATTCGAATTCTCGTATGAATTAGGAATTCCAGGATTAACGCAATTGAATTAAGAAGACACAGGCACAAACGAATGTATTGTATTTAGAATTCGAAATCAAACATTCAACCAGTACAAAGGTATCATTGGTTCATTCAAACACCACATCCGCCACAGCTTAAGTTGGAGTCTAGGTGTTTGTAATCAATCGTACGTCTTCTTCTCAAATTCATCCTGAGTCTGTCTGACAATGTATTGGATAAGGATTCTGTATTATCTAGAATATGCTCATTAGCATTAGAATTAACAATCGAAATTGGAACTGACTCACCTGGTTCCTGAAATTGTATTTGCTCTACATGTCGACTGTGTGTACTTAAGTCATCGATGTCTAGAATTCGCACCATCGATTTTCCGACATTCTTCAGAACAATACCCGTAGATGGTCGAAGATCATTTCCTCGATAGTATGTAACTTCTGCAGACTCCAGACATCTCATATTCGACCGAAGAATTCTTCCTTTCAATAGCTTCGCTGGAGTCTCCTTCGTCACCGAATGTTTGGCATTTCTATATTGCAATAGAAAGGTATCTACTCCCCTCTCCAGCTCATTAAATGTTGAGGGGGCTATAGAATCAATAGCAGTCTTTAATGTCCTAACAAAATTCTCTGCCTGACCATTAGAACACGGATGTCTGGGAGCAGTAAATAGATGTTTGCACCCTATACCGTTCAACCAGGTAGTGACTACATCTGCAGCAAAATGTGAGCCATTGTCAGTCACCAACACCAAGGGAACACCTTCTCGACTAAACACCTTTCTTAATTCTTGTATTGTGAAATCAGAATTTGGAGAAGTTGTGAAAAAAACTTCAGGCCACTTTGAAAAAGAATCAATGACTACTAGTGCGTAGTATTTACCAAGAAATGGTCCACAATAGTCAACATGAATCCTCTGCCAGGCCTCAGACGATACTGGCCATGGCACCCACTTCGAAGGATGATTTTTCAACTGATGACATTTCTCACAATTGTTTGCCGTACGACAAATATCTGCATTTATCTCTGGCCACCAGCATGTGAGCCTTGCCAAGGACTTCATTTTCTCAACACCTAAATGACCACTATGAAGATCTTCAAGAACAGATTTACGCAATGAAGGAGGAATGACAACACGATCGTTTAAACACAGAATACCATCAGGAGTAGTAGATAACTCATCCCGCTTTGAAAAATAGATAGGAAATCTCCGTTTCAAATTAGCATTCCAACCTTTCCTTATAGCACTGAGTATACATCCAAAATATCTACGAGTTTCTCTAATGAGATCTGAACGTCTCACTGGTAAAGGTTGCACTAACAAACAATCCGAAGTATTAATAGGTTTATCTTGTAATGACTGTCGAGAAATGTAATCAACATGTTGAATCCGTTTGGCACTTCTGTGCTGAACCGTATAGTCATATGCACTCAAAGCAATACTCCATCGCTGAACCATAGCTGCTGAGGAACGTGCTAAAGATTTTTCGGGATGATAAATAAACTTTAAAGCTTCATGATCAGTAACAATAGTGAATTTCTTTCCGAATAAATATTTATGAAGTCTTTTAACAGCCCAAAACACAGCTAATGCTTCTCGCTGAGTCTGTGAATAACCTTGTTCAGTAACAGTAAGTTTGCGTGAAACACAAATAACTGGTCTACCTTCCTGTTCCAAAACTGCACCAATTCCCACAGGTGATGCATCAGTAATAAGCACAGAATGTGCATTAGGGGAGTACGTTCGAAGAACAGCATCACTTTGAAGAAACTTCAGCAGACTTCGTAAGCATGACTCTTGTTCCTCACTCCATTTGAATGAATTTGATGTTAAAATATTAAATAAACAATTTGCACGACAAGAAAAATTAGGAATAAAACGGGAATAGTATTGAAGAGCACCCACTAGTGAACGTAATTCTGTAAGATTTTTCGGAGACGGTGCATTAGTCAGTGGAGCTAGTCGTTTCATATCTGGTCTAAAACCATTACCATCAACTAGGTATCCAAGGCATTCAAAACTAGAGACACAAAATGAACACTTATTTGGATTCACTGTTATATTCTTCTCAATTGAACGACGCAATAAAGCAATAAGTCTCTGGTCGTGAACTACCTTATTAGAGCCATGAACAATGAGATCATCTTGATAAACTTCAACACCTTCAAGATCACTAACTACTTTATTCATAACTTCCTGAAATATGGCTGGAGAACAACTTAGACCAAATGGAAGGAAATTGTATTTGAACAGACCAAAAGGAGTGTTAATTGTCGTCAAAATAGATGAAGATTCATCTAAAGGAATTTGAAGATAAGCATCTTTTAGGTCAACTTTCGAGAACACTTTAGAACCATGAAGTCGATTTAGAATATCTTCAGCTTCTACCGTCGTGCACGTTTGCTTCAACAAACGGGAGTTCAGAGTTAATCTATAGTCACCGCAAATTCTAGAAGTCTTGCCGTCCGACTTCAGTGGCGTAACGATAGGAGTACCCCATGCTGAAGACTGGATTGGTTCAATTATGCCTTTCACACACAAATCGTTTAATGTCTTATGTACTGCTTCTCGAAGACCATAAGGAATTATTCGTCTTTTAAGAAAGACGGGATCACCCTGTACTTGAAGTTTTATAGGCTTAATTTTCATACCTCCACTGCACTTAGCACACATAGCTATCAAATCTTTAAGTAAAGTATCAGAATTTTCTTTAGAAACTAAGAAGGACAACTCCACCTTAAGCCTTTTCAAATTCTTTAAACCCAATATTGAGAGTCCTGTTTCGCTAACTAAAAATTCACAAGGTATGTATGAAGAATTATCATCTCTGATTAGCAATTCACAACATCCTCGTATGGGCAGTCTGTGTCCAGTAATCCCCAGTATTGATACTTCAGTGGGTCGTACAACAACGTTAGGATCTAAAGCTTTCAAGTTCTTGAATGAAATAATGGACTCTATACTGCCTGTGTCCAGAATAAAGTCATGAAATGAACCAAGCGATGTATATAATCGCTTCTGAATATGAGCATTACCTTTCGAAATAGTAGACAAAGACAAATGATCACTAGAAACATGCGAATTATTGAAATTTAAATTACAAGATTTAGTACAGCTTGAAGCAAAATGGACAGTAGCTTTGCATACTGACTGAATGTGTCCTACCTTACCATATTTAAAACATTTGGCATTACGAAATACACATGAATTGCGAGCATGTAACTTTCCACATGATAAACATTTACCAAACTTCATCTCACCTTTGTGATTTGCTTTGTAATTCCTCGTTGAAACACCTTTCATATTTACACGAGAATAGGAATCACTGTTAAATGAACGCAAGTTTGATTGACCCTGAGATTGTGGTTCATCACGACGACTAAGCAAAGTATTAGAAATGTTCATCGACTGGATATCAAGTTCATTGACTGCTTCGTAGTTAATACATGCAGTTCTAGCATCTTGAAAGGAACAGTTTGGCATTCTTAACAGCTCTCTTTCCAAACTCGGTATGTTAATTCCTGCAATTAATCGATCTCTCAATTGCACATGAAGTTGATCACCGAAATTACACTTGGCAGCTTGTTTCTGTAATTCAAGGATGAATTCCCGAACCTTTTGGTCATTTTGACGAACCATCTTATGAAACTTCGCCCTTTCACGGCATTCAAAACTGGTGCATTTTACATGACTTAACAATAGCTCTTTAAGAGTTGCATAAGGCAGTGAGATAGGTTTTTCTGGATATGCCAAAGTTTTTAATAAGCTGTACGCTTCTCTCCCAATGAATGTCAGAAAATGTGCCACAATTTTCTCACCATTAACATCTTTCTTGGTCATGCTCCAAATTTCGAACCTTTCCAAATAATCCTCAATAGCTTCAGGAGTTGAATGAATATCCAACTTTTCCATTGCAGGTTCCATCATGACGCCAATATAATATTCGAATTCTCGTATGAATTAGGAATTCCAGGATTAACGCAATTGAATTAAGAAGACACAGGCACAAACGAATGTATTGTATTTAGAATTCGAAATCAAACATTCAACCAGTACAAAGGTATCATTGGTTCATTCAAACACCACACTCCTCCATTTATGAATTCGTCTAAAATAATCTTTTCTGAATTTTTCCTGATGATGAGCTATTCACTAAAATATGTGTAATATATAACTATCGCATTGACCACTGAGTAAGCAATGCATAGGTTAGATATAGGGTATTGGTGAAAAATGACAATTCGGTTGGTGAAGTTGTAAATCTTTATCGATTAGTTTTGTTAGGAAATGTGTTGCATATACCTAACCACCTCCTACCTCGATGAGCGATTCTTACTGATATTGAGTTAGATTGGAACGGAGCTAGATCCGGTTAAACCCAATGTATGGCATTAGTGCACGAAGTCATTGATCATTGTCATGAGTCATGTTAATAAATGCATGCTACCTGGTTGGGGTCTGCACGATTATCTCACAAAATAATCGGAGACTTTATGTAACATGGTTTAGAATCGTTCACAATGGTGCAGGTGAATTTAGTCTGTCATAGATCTTAATTTTTTTTAACTAATCCTGAGATTCAGTGAGACACAAGTTACTAGGAGTAACAAAATTTATGTTCTTCTTATTCTTGTGATTCTAGTGTTTACCTATTCTTGTCGTCATACTAATCCTTTCTTATATGGCACATTAACATAGAGTTCATCCCTACCAGTCAGTCATTTGATCCGGCTTGTTCAAAGCCTTAAGTGAAATATTAGTAGGTACCACACAAAAGTTACACGGGAACTCATAACCTATTCAAATTTATGAGAACGTGCAAACCATGGCAAATCTTCACTGTATATATGCAGTTTCATTCTCTGAAATATATTCATATAAATCTAATACCTAGTTTTCTTCTGTTTTCTGTTGTAAACACAAATACACACAACTATTCTAATATATAGCGTTGCTGCTTACAGTCAATTGAATCACATGAACCCAAGTAATCTAGGCATTGTATTCGCACCATCATTGTTTCGTTCACGTGAAGAATCTGTCGCTGCGATTATGTCAACAAAATTTGCTTCAACTGCTGTCGAATTAATGATTATTAATTATTCAAGTTTATTTCCAATACATTCATCGAATATTCTTCGACCAATACCTCAGTCATCTACTACCCCACTTGTTATGGATGATAGAAATGGAACTATAAGCGAAATTAACAATACCACTCATAATTCTATCAATGATATATTTGATAGTAATAATACTCCTACTAATATGGGAAAATATAACCATATTAAGAATGGTGAAAACTCTGTAGAACCAGTGTATACTACACCGGTTATTGGCTATCCTTTTCAATTAACCAGTGAGTTTAATATTAGAACAAATGGATATTTCTTTCTTTTTACATCATTATTCAGTTTATCACTTTGTAACTGAGTTTGCTTGACTGCTGAATATTACATTTTCGTTATTCTAAAATTCCCCTTTGTATGTAATATGAACTTGGATTAAGCTTGAAACTAAGTCACCAGAACTAACCTCTGTACGATTGTTATCAAAGAACGAAGGCATAACGAAAGTATAACTGTGTAAACTAAAGTTACATTTCAGTTGATCATTGAAATATTGTTTATCGATTGAAAAACTTACTGGATAATATTTAGATATAAAACTTTCATAATAAATGGGATGGTGGAGAAGATTTGTAGTTCAGGTGGATGATTTTGATGGAGCTTTTTTTTCTCTGAGCTGGATGGTTTGATCATGGAGCGATGGGATGATGATTGTAGAACGATTAGTGTTCTGCGACCAAACCACCCAACTCAGAGAAAAATACTTCATCAAAATAATAAATGGGCTAATGTAAACAAAGTACGTGATTGTGTATATAATCAATAATAAATTTGGTACTCGTTTCAGGTTGTCAGTAAAATAATCTTTCAGTTGAATAACCTTAAGAATGAAACTTCTTATAACTTTTTTTTAAAATCATGAATGATTATGGTTATTTTTGTTTGGAAGGCATTAGTTGACATGTATATACTCTGGCATTGTATACAGAATACATATGACATTCTTTATAAATCTTCTATTCATAGAGTTGTTATTAATGAGAGAAATGGTGATGTATACTATACATGTATATAGTCTGATGCTTCAAAATGTTGTGGTTTACAATAGTAATGTTGTAACTGCCCCCAAATGCCCTGGTATGGCCGAGAGTGGGGTGGGCTCGCCCTCCCTCTCGAAATGCTCTCACACAGCCACGTGTATACAGCCTCTGCCAGGGAAGTCCTACTCACTGCCTTCTCGGTACGGGGGTGTTGTTTACGAAATTGAGAGGACGAAAAGCGAATGTCCAGCGATTTAACCGGATCCCAAACCAATGGTGCACATGGGCTCCAGTATCCTGCGGGAAAAAATGGCGTGTGAACCAATCGCTGGTCACCGGATACCATGGGACTGCATCTCCTCACGATGCTCCACTGCCTTGTGGGTCAGACCTTTAGGTCAAAGGCTCGGGTTGTGGTCCCCTAAGAAAACCACGTGCTTCGGTCTGGGCACCCTGGTTGTATCCCAGCCCTCACATAAATCGAATGATTTATATGGCGCATATCTATTTGGTGCCACCTTGTTTTACATCTCTTTTTTTCAATATTAAGAGGTATGTAGGGGTGGTGTTAATTGTAATGTTTGAGGCTATACTGAATCTAAAGATCAGTTAGTCGCAAGGTAGAACCTGGTATGCATGTGCATTATTTTGACTCTGTTGCTATTCACCCTGTCGATTTTATCTCACTGTGCTGATGTTAAATACATCTACAAACATCATTCAGTCAGTCACAACATAGAACTTGTATGTTTGTACATTAGTTTAAGTTGTCATACCTCAATAGCATTGAGAGATGAAGTTGTTAGGCTAAAACCCAGAATAATAGAGGTAGTAATAGAATAATTAGATTAGACATCAAATATACGATTTAAGAAAGTATAAATTACTGAAATATACCATGAAAAACGGTTGTAAAGAGTTCAGAAGCTGAAAATTCAGGGAAGACAAAGAATGGATGCATCTGAGTCATTGGAAACGATTTTCAACCATGTCACCTAAAGTCTCTAATCACTGATTACGATAATAATGTGGACACCAACTATGTAGTCTATACCTATTAACATGGCTAAGTCCAATTCTCAATAGCTTCATGGACTGTTGCCATGTTTTGGTTTAACCGTTTCTAGCTTTGTTCCAATTTCCTCCTAAATCAGAAGTGAAGCGGTCTATGCGTTCAACTACTTAATCTCCTATCGTTAATTCAGACCATGATGAAAATCAATCCTGAAGTGATATTTTACATTTAGAAGGAGAAAACAGCATCCCAAATGTGTTTTCATTGTTGTTTAAGGTGATCAGATTTTTTACTAAACACAACTATATCGTCTGCGTATTTTAAGTCATCAAGTTATAGTAGTATCGATCATGAGACCCAGTAAATCTATTGCATCATCGGCAAATATGCAGTGAATTTCTCGATAGCCACGAAAATCCAGCGTACTTTTTTCCAATGAAGTCAAAGGAAATATCTACCTCCGTTGTCATTAACATCTAAACACAGATGCAAAATATCTTATATGGTGATGTGTTTCTATCTGTTTTCCAGTGTTGACATCGTCGCATTTCTTTCAAAGCTCTCATATGTTGGGACTATCGAGTTACCGATGCTGAGATTAGGTTCAGAATACTAGGTAACCATGCTAAATCGGTTGTTGTGGTTGTAAGTCTTTATTGACTGAGGTGTGCTGTTGTATGCCCAACTACATTTCTCACCTTGACAAAGTGTAATGTTTACTGTTCTAAGAGTAGTTCGTAAAAAGTTGAAGGAGGCAGTCAAACCTGAGGCATTGCTATGTTGCTAGGTTTAAATTATCATCCAAAATACCTTATGAAGTCCTTATAGTTGAATAATTACTTCATCTTAGTATCGTAGTATGTCTGTAATAGTAGTAGTTTTCTAATTCTTTGTTCTACTAAATTGGTGTAACTCACTTTCATCCATCTCCCATAAACATTATCAAATATGCTGTGTGTGTTTTTTCATTATCCGAAGGGGTTTTGTAGATGTAATAGTATTTTTAATAGTTGAATTCATGAGTCAATTGAGGCTAAACCACCATGGAAAACCTGGAAGAACTGGGTGGCCGTTTCGTTCTAATGTGGGACTCTCCAGCAATGCGCATCCATGATCCCGCCTCGCAAGATTCGAACACAGGACCTATCAGTCTCGCGTATGAGCACTTAACTTCTAGACCACTGAGTCGGCATCCAACGGTGTCAATGTCTAACTTCAACTAATCCACGAAATTGAGCGACACATCATGATCTCAACTATTAAAATTACTATAATATCCACAAAACCCCTTCTGATATTAATTAACATATGCTCACTAGTGACTAGCTTCAAGAGGCATTTCCTGATGTTCTGTTGAGAATCAGTGACCAGTGGAGTTCAACCAAATCTGTTGTGAGATAGTATCTCACTGATGATCATGGTGGATTTGTCACTCAATTTCTTGGATTAGTTGAATTTAGACATTAACACCGTTGGATGCCGACCAGCTCAGTTGTGTAGAGGTTAAGCGCCCACAACGCGAGACTGATAGGTCCTGAGTTCTGATCTTGTGAGATCATGATCGTGGATGCGCACTGTTGGAGAGTCCCACAATAAGACGAAACGGCCGTCTAGTGCTTCACAGTTTTCCATGATGGTCTAGCTTCAATGAACTCATGATCTAAACTATTAAAATTTTCTTTATTGTTTTAAGTTTAAAATCATTATCATAATCATGAATACGGTGATCCCATTTAACTCATCAAACATTTTTTCACTTGTTTAGTTAAAATTATTTTTTCGCTTTTTGTTTTTTTTGTTTTCTAATTTCACAATAATCATTTTAACTCACGCTTAAAGTTTATCCTTTTTATACACCGTATAGATTCAATATTGGATCGGTAGGTTTAAGTTTTATTAGTAGTATGTGGTATACAAGAAGCAAACAGTTTTTTTTCTCTGCTTCTTTCATTATTCTTTTTTCTATTTGCACTTTTGCTAAATGCTTTTTGATTGCTAGCGACTTTTCGCATGTTATGAATCGCATGTTTGTTGATCTGGATATATATATACACACACACACAAGTTTAAGAGTTTCCTTTATGGCAAAGCATAAGATCACTGTGTATGTGTATGTGATGATAGTTTCTATCCACATCTGGGATCACTATGGGAAAAAATTACACTAGAGATAATTTTGTACGGAACGGATGTTTCATTTTTTAAGCTTGAAAGTATCCACCCTTTGTGTGGCTTTTTAAAGCTGATTAGAGAAGAGTTCAGAGTTTTACTACAAGAAGAATAAAGTCTTCCGACGTTGTCTATCCGATAAACGCATGAGTTAAACTACCAAGCTTAGCTTTGGATGTTGATGATTAATTGCTATGGTTTCAGTCACTCATTGCATTGAGTCTGTTTTATCACAGTCGCCTGTATTTGCAATAGTTAGGATTTCTAGTTTTTGTCATCTGTCTAATAAGTATTAAAATTGAGATTCTGAAATTTTCGTTTTAACATAATTTAGGGTGATTTGATCACCACGTTAGATCACGTTTCCTATTTACCAAACTTGCTCCACTCCAGTTTTATTTTATTTTCAAATGTGGAATGGGTATGTAAAGGGTCTACATTGTTCTTCGATCCGATCCAGTCACTGATGCACACTCCAGCGCTTATACAATCAGCTACACTCAGAGAGGAAAGTAGAAACTGTGTATGTATCCTTTATTTCACCAAAAGCTAAATAATCATTCTTACGACTGATATGTGTATATAAGTTGTGAGAGTGACTCAGAGAGGGACATGTGAATTAAAGATTTAAGTAGATGAATAAGCTACTTACAGTAACTGTTGGGGTGATCCAGAAAACTTCTCGCAAAATACAAAAAAGGCTCAGGAAACAGTAAGGAGCATTTTATTCAATCAGCGTCCATTAGAAATGTAGCCAGAAACATTAAGAAAGTGAGAAGTCACATGTGGAGTTTCTGATTAGCTGATTATTATCCTGCTACTATGTTTAGTAGCATTGTAGAATTTTAGGAAAACGCAAGGACATCTAAAATACTATGAAAACCCTATATTTTCTGTACTAAAAGGAACCTTTGAAGTGAAGTGCTTCTCGTATATTTTGTGTAATTCTAGCTTAGTGGTTACGAGAATAGCTTAGGAACCGAATATAGCGTTGAATTAGCAAGACTTACGAGTAACCCCCTTGCCCACACTTTCACCATAACCCCCATGTAGTCTTGAAACCACGTGATACGTTTGAGATTGTTCGGACAATTGCAACGCCATTAAAAATTGAAAACGCTAAAACGACAAATTAACTGTAGACTGTAATTTTCGGAAATTCCAAAGGATGTGTTGTACAATGAAAATGGAGATATAATACATGTATTGCCACATATAAGTGGGCGCATATTTTTAAGGGAATACGTTTGGAATACTCTAGATTTTGAGAAGTGAGGTTTTTCGTGATCCTTGGTTCATCCGGTTCATTGGATAGATCACAAATTATTCAATAATATTACTTGATAGTTAACTATATTCTATCTCTTATTCTGTTTCAATGTTTTATTGCTTAAAACCATTTGTGCTTATGCTTTTGTAAATGTGTGTGTGTGTGTTCTTGCACTATGCTGTTGATCTCTGCTTTTATACCGCTTCATTAATTAACATTTTTCATGCGTTTTTTAAAAAATTGTTTCTGTGACTGAACTGATCGATTAGGTGCTTCTTATTTTTGTTGCTGTAATCATTACGTAGTAAGAGTTTGTTAGTTGATTCGAATCATTGACTCTGCTTTTTGTTGGGTTTTTTTGCATAGAGTGTATTTGTTAGTGAGAAAAAGCCCTGAATCATTTGTAATCTTAATAGTTGAGATCATGAGTCAGTTGAAGCTAGATCACCATGGAAAACCTGGAAGCACTGGAAGGTTGTTTCGTCCTACTGTGGGACTTCTCAGCAGTACGTATCCACAATCCCGCGTCGCAAAATTAGAATCCATCAGTCTCGCGCGCGAGCGCTTAATTTTTAGAATTTTCAGCAATACATTTCTATATCTTTTTAGAAAGTTGTCGAACTGATATTGTTTTCATCACATGAACTCTATGAATTTTAATACTGAAAAAAACCCATCAGAAATCTAATCCAACACAAGGAGGAACAACAAACTTGTGTTTACGAAATCAAATGTAGTAATTGTAGTGCTATTTATATAGGTGAAATATTATGACATTTGAATGTGCGGGTGAAAGAACACAAACTGTACTTAAAGCACATTCCTAAATCATCAGATGATGTAAGAAAACTTGAAAACAACTCAGCGATAGCATTACCTTCGATAGAATCGAGTCATGCAATTGATTTCAATGGCACAAGAATTCAAAAAGGTCTTTATTCTTATAAAGAAAGACTAACAGTCGTAGCAAATCCAAATAGTATTAATAGGAGAGATTGGATACGATTAGCTGTTCCATGGCAACTAATAATTAATAAGTAAACTTGAACTCCTTATTCCACTTAATCTATTACTTATTATCTGAATATGTTGAATAATTAGCTGGAACAGGAAAAGTAACACAAACATTCATTCCTTCATTCTTATTTTGTTTATTTATCTTTATTTTATTCATGTTATCACGTATTCACCGAACAGAGGCGATACATAGTCAGTGAAATTTCTTCTCACATCTCAGATCCACTTACGAATACAAACAATCTGTTATGTTAACACACTTTTCGTTACACACGTTACACCTAACTCATACACGCTAAAGCAAATACCTTGATGACCTATTTATTAGTAGTGGGATCTAGGACGCGCGTTTTGTCCTATTTTAAACTCGTCAGATGGTTGTACCTGCACCTCAGAGTTGATGTTCCCTTCGGGGCTTAAACTCAGTACTGTTCTATTTAAACGCCATCGCGTTATCCACTTAGCTACTGGGTCCTGACAGCCACTTGCTTGTACGACTATACATTTTTGCATATAATGCTTGTGAATTAAGGCTATATCGAGGCACAGTATGCAAATATGTGTACAGGAGACTGATCAATTTCAGTGCTAAACATCAATGGGAAGATTCTAAAAAGCAATACCAAGTGAATTTATTTAGCATATTGTTAACCAGGGAACCTTGTACTTATTTATATTCGATACTTTTGATTATATTTCTTTAAAAAAGCTTGAACCAGATTACTGAGTGAAACGTTGGATTTACTTCAAATTCGATCGCTGCGATTTTACAGATACAATCTTCCTTCTTAATTGTATTATGTAGCTAAGCGGTGTGAAAATAACTGTTATAGTTTAGTCTTTTTTAGAATCTTTGAAGAGAGTGTATATTCAACATTCAGCTTTCTTTAAGCATCGGTAAATTATAAATTCCGAGAAAGTAAAAATTTTGTACAGCTGGATCCTGATTTGATTGATTTGAACACATAAATATTGGTACAAGGGGGCACTAGATACATATGTGCCACACAAATCTCATTTGATTTGTGTGAGGGCTGTGATACTACCCGGGTGCCCAAACCGAAGCTGGATCCTAGTCGTCAAGCTCTTCGGTTGGATAACGTTTGTAAAAATTCTCATATAAATAGGTCTGTTTATTATCTATGCGATTCATGCAAAGGTATAAATTGACCCTATGATACATCATCGTATCTTCTTGAAAGTATTACTTACTTACGCCTGTTACTCCTCGTGAAGGAGCATAGGCCACTCACCAGCATTGTCCATCCAACCCTATCCTGGGCAATCGCTAAAAAACGCTAACCAGAAAAATAATTCTTAAAAGTATAAAATAGATGAATTCAGTTTTAGTCAGTGACGACTAATCTCCATTTGCGATTACTACATCAGACTAAAAGCCAATACGACAGTATTTTCGGCAGCTAAAGGTCATCCTAATATCTTGGTAGTTTATATTTCTTGTCACATTTACGTCATGACAACTGCCTAATCCTTTCAAGAAATAACTGAAATAGAGACAGTTTTTCCTAAGAGTTTCCATAGATAACTCAAAAACATGAAGATGTACATAATTTTAAAGTTTACCATCAATAAGTATGGTATATAGTTTGGTGTAAAAAAGTGACAAGTATTCGATATGAAACATAAAACTTCGTCTTCTATAAGGTTTGTTTGTAGTTTTGAAGGAACTGATGCTCCCCTTTGAAACCACATCGATTTACAAGCTTTATTTGCCACATATTTATCTCATTTGAAGTATCTCTGTGTTATGATATTGTTGTTCACTGGTATCACATGATAAAATCACCAATCAGAGTATCAATTTTTGTAACTTTGTACGTAAGCTAACCAATGACACGTCAACCAACACTAGTAGCATCAAATTACTGCCAAGTCCTTATTGGTTATCAATTCCTTAAAGTCTCTCCTTGTCCTACCTGTTGAGTCCAGAACACTGCACTATAGGAATATCATATTTCAAACATATGTACTTTATAGACAGAAATACCGACAGCAGCATACTAGGCTGTTCGAAATCTCATGATGAAAGGAATATATACACATATCCGTTTACTTAGTTATACAATAAGCATATCTATATAATAATAATAGTCCATAAATTAGTCCTGGAAGTTGATATTCCTTTATTCTTTGTTTGGATATTAAACGGTGAAAATCTGGAAGTATGTGACTCCTCAGCAGTGCGCACTCATGAACCGGACAACGACCAAACACTGAACTTTTATGTCATCAATAGAATCACTGAGTCTGGGTCCAACCGTACAATTACAATTAAAATTAGTTTTTAATGAAGCAAAGGAATCCCCTACTAAGTCAAAATAGTTTCTTGGTGTTTTAATTCTTACTAATACCTCAACTGAGATCAATCTATAATGGTTGAAATCTACATATTGGTATCACACTAAATCCATAGTGGTCGATTCTAACCAAGAATTCAAAAACATGTAAACCATGTTCTCTCCTCTGTAGTTTAGTTAGGAAGTATCATCAGCCTTCCTACTAATAATAAAATATGACTCAAAACCTTTATCTAGTCAATCAACTATGCTGCATATATTTCATGGTTTCCTAAAATTCTTACATACATATTTTATTAACTGATATCATTAGATCTGAAAACATGTTCACTTCGTCCAGTAATGAAAACTACTCATCTCAAACATCTTTACAATCGATTAAATCATCATCTACGTTTACATCTTCCTTCACAACAACATCAACAACCACGAAATCAAATTCACAATCATTCAAAAGTTCACCAAGTCTCCCAATCGCATTACAAATTGTCCATGACAATGAATACATTACTAATCAACACGAACAAAATCCAACAAATGAAAAAATTTTAAATCATTCTCTTCATCATCATCATAATTCTTCATTAGTTACATCACCATTATCTATTCATCACAATAATCATTTAATTGAACCATCATTGAGATCTCGTATATCACCGCAACGTAGCAGGTAGTTATTTTTGATGATAATGATCATAACAATACTGATGAAATTTTTCTTATTGGCTAGCAGTGAACATTAGTTTCTTTTTTCAATAGTTTACCTCTAGATCAGTGATTTGGGTCCGTAGTCGTTGGGAGGTCTAAATATGGTTTAGAGGTGTATTGTTTTCATGTGAGGGGAAAGTGAATCCACGAGCAAGAATTGAGAATTTGCTCCCGAACTTCTAGTGAGAGATTGTGACTGGTCGTGGTGTTCAACTTCGTTGACAATGAGATAGTTTATCATCAATGGGATTGAGTAATATTGGATTACACCACAAATTAGTCAAAATTGAAAATGTAGATCATTGGTTTCTAGTTCATTGTTACCAATCTCCATTAATTGACACAGTAATAATTTAAGAAGAATAATAGTTGACTAATTTGGTTACTTGCACGTGTTTTCCATGATACTCAACCCCAGATGTCAAGTTGGATTGTGCTCATAAATCGGTAACTAAGTGAGCAAACAAGTTTTAACCTTTAAGTGATTGATGGAAACCGACCGAAGTAGAACCCAACTCTTTATACCATCGGGTCAGTGAGGTGGAAGTTTTTCTAAAGCTTCTTTTGATTCATGCCAGTATATGTGATTGGGATAAACCTTATTGCTAAAACAATCAACGTTACATATTGAATCGGTTTCTCAGTTTAACTTTGTATTGTATTGATTCTTTGCGACCATAGGTCAGGCCTTTTCATTTAAGAATCCACAATTCAGTAAGGCTTTGTTGAATGACAATTATATTTTTTGCTGATCTTATTATCCTGTTAGATCCGTTTAATCATATCAATATTGATAGGGATCAATGAGTCAATGGTTAAATTGTAGTCACTAAATGTAATTAAATAGTACAACTATGCCAACTTTATTATAAACTGGATTACTACAGTGTAGTCTAATCTATAGCTTAGCCAATGACATTGAAGTGTTAGTTAATGGAAATCGTATCTGAATCGACAATTGTGTATCTATGTGCCAATGTGGTATGACAACTCGAACTGATGTACATACGTACAAAGTTCTACGTTGTTACTGACTGACTGACTAATAGAAATGCAATTGTGTATCATTTGAATTGTATATCCGCTCATAATTTCGTAATTTCTAGACGATAATTCCTTTTAAAATCTGACTTCCTTCGGAATCTAATCAGATAATTACGAAGTCAAACATTTTACAGCAGGTTTATGAGTTTATTTTGTGGAAACATACATTTTTGTACTAATACTAATCAGTGATATATCTGTTAAAGTCAGTCGTAATCAGGATATGACTTGGTGTAAATATACATCTGTCCAAGTTTGCACTCCGCTAACTTCACGAGGTGAAACTAACAGGATACATTACTGAAGTTGAAATTATACTAGTGATTATTGTAGTAGAATCAACTATACATAGAAACTATGTCTCTAAGAGAAGGAATGAATTCGCGAAATAAAAGTAGCGAAAAATGAATTATTTATCTGCGCGTCATTGCGGTCGGTTTTAACCAGTGTTCATCAACTTTACTATTCATCAACCATGATTCTCACTCTGAGCCCAACCATATAGTCTGCACCTGCTAACAACTCGTACTTCAACCTGATTCTTTGCATGTCAGCTGTATGTTCCGCTTTAGACCATTATTAGAATGCTATTAATAGGTAGAAATTAAATGTCATGGTTTATGTAATAGTTTTCTTAGAAAATTTGCTTATTTTTAGTAAAAATTTATATCCTTTAACCGGGTCTATTTTTTATATACTAATTTTTGTCTAGTCCGAACCCCCCGATTCATTTAGTTGTATCGCAATCTTTTAGAAAATCGCCGGCACCACCACCACCGGTGACATCAGCAAAGTGTGTAAATACAATCCCAGTAAGAAGCTCATCAACAAAACCTATCACATTGTCACAAACTTCTGTCACAACTGCAATCAAAGAAACTGCCACTACTGCTGTCAGTGCTTTGAATCACGAAGATCTATCCTCTCATAATCACTCTGATAAATGTAATAATTTTGGGGTTGAATCCGATCAAACATGTATACCGCATATGTCTTCTGAATAACACTATTTGAACTGCTCTCTATTCTGCCAGGTAATTGTTATTTTTTTGCACTTTTTCGATATATATAACGTCAACCTGTAAATCATTGAAGACATGGGAAAACTTAAAGGGGTATGTACACTAGGACCCCCAAGAGACTGAGTCCATGACATGCAGGCCTCGTATGGTGTACCTTTACATCGCTGATATAGGATCCACCAGTCTATGTATCCAATCTAAAGGTATTCACCACAGTTGTACCATTAATGTATGACTTGAAATTGAATGAACTTTACTAATGGAGGTTTTTTTAATAAGAATCCGCTCAGTAGTACCTAGCCTTATAAAAAATCTTAGAGGTTTTAATTTGAAATCTTGACTGATAGATTACTATTGCTAATAATACTTCTACTACTATTAGACATCATATCTATGAATGGGGATATGAATTGAGTTTATCAGTGGACCATTCTGTGTTTGAAGTGGAAAGTAATGCGTCCCATTTCCAGTGTGAACTTTATCAACGGACCTATCTAGTCTTCTATGTAGGAAAAGATACTCATGTTATAATCCATTGTTAATCAAACTTTAACATGATGTTACATACTTCAATAAAAAACAAAGACTTATTCCTTATTTTTGCATCATTATGTTTCAGAACTTCAATGCATTGATACAGAAATACAGATGTCAAATAAAGTGTACAAGTATATCACCTAACTTAACTGGTTGCTCGAAAATTTCTATGTACAAATTATTCTACTTAAATACTTATAAATAGTGTAAAAATGTTTGAAAAATTACTTGTCAAATAGCGTTCAACCTGTCTTTTTTTTTTTGAGAAAAAATATACATCATATTACTTATATTTACGTATGTACACACTTTTTTTAGTCTGTTTTTGATTAATCAAGGTATCTCTTTCATTCTGTCGTTCTTGTTTGTTCCTTTAGTTTGTTTTTCATTGGAAATAATCTCAGTATCTGTATTGTACTTCACAATGAGAGTAAAATAAGTTGTATTATGATGTATATCCCAGATTATTTACAGGTTGATTGGTTAGTTAAGTTTTTTTAGATGTGTACTGACTTCCCAAATGATAAGAGATCGTTTTTCTTGTCGTGAATCGTTCGTTCGCAAATTTCCAACATTATCTCATGAAAAATTTGTTGAAAAGGTAGTATTGACCATTCCCCCCCCCCAGTAATTTTGACTTTGATACAGTTATTTATTGTAAATATAAAGTTCAGAAATGAATAACGTCTTTTCATTTTTGGGTTTGATGGAGGTTTGTTGTTTATGCCTCACAGATTTATACTATGTAATCAGTGTTGTGTTGTGGCTACAGTAAGATGCTTCAAAAGTTAACATTAGGGTCAAATGAGACAATTCTGAAATGTGCTCAGTCGAAGTGTTTGAATTTCAGCGATTTCAAAATGTGGTCCGATTTAAGAAGACCATTAAAGGATAGCTTTTTTATTGTTGTGTTTCTGTATACGGTAACCTGCTTGAATGTTTTGGCTACCTGTTCCCCTCATCTAAATATTACGACAAGTTATCTTTTTTATTTTGTTTTAACACATTACTGTGTCTATTAGTCGCACAACCTATTCAAACGCATTTATGAGTTTACGACCAATTGCCTTGCAAGATACAAAAAAGTATAATCCGAGACATCGTGGTGGCCATCAATATGCGTTGAAAAGAATTAGTTCTCTTCAGATGTCGATTCCTAAACTGCTTAATTATAACTGTTAATTACTGATTGGCAAGGTGAATTATTTAAAATTCCTTCCAAGTCAAAATATGTATGGAAATCCGGGTGTAATCACAATTCAAGGATCTCGGTTAAGTGGTTTACAAGACGTTTTCCTAATTTCACTACAATATTTCAATATATATCGTTCAGATTGATCAGGCAGTAAGAAAGGGTGTTCGAGTGATGTAGCCACATTTGTAAGTGAGAACTGGTGTCATTCTAATTTTTTCAAATATTAATTTTTCAAACGACTTTATCGACTGTTTAACTTTAAGATGCTGTCGGAAACACGTGAATAAATATAATTATGTTCATGTTACCGATATCTACGTGACTCCAGACTGCACATCATCTGGACTATCTGATTTCGTTGATGAATTCACTGAATTTGATGTTGCTACCTTCAGTAGTTCACTTTCAATTGTATGTGGTGATTTTAATTCATGTGACTTTAGCTTTCATCATTAGGTCATCAAAATGGAGTATACTTTCCCACGCGTTTGGATACCCATTTAGACTTGGTTTTCATTATTGGTGAGGAAACATGTGAGACTCATAAACGTGCCGCATTGTCTAGCTTGGAAAGTGTTCGACATATCTACTTTCTCATGAAGGTGTGCCACGAGGTGTTGTTCTTGTGCCCCTTCGTTTCCGCATAATCTATCCTCCGCAGTAAACACTTGTTAAATATGCGGACGATTTCAATGTATGCATGCCAATTTTTACCTCCTTACATCCCCTTGAAATTAATGAGTTCTTATCTCGTATGGAATAGTGGTCTATTGTTAATAGTTTCACACTTAGTCCGTCTAAATATCAAATTGTCAATTTTAGCCTGTGACACCGACGGCGCTTAAATATTTCGTTGTTCTGTTGGGAGTTCTTTGACAAACAGTGTCAAGAATCATTTGTCTTTATGTAAGTTTTTCCTCTGATCTACTTCGGTGTTTTTTTGTTTTGAACGTTTTTCAACTGAATTACTCCATAGTGAGGCTGCATGCCTTTAATACTATTTGACATTTACTCTTACGATTTGTCAGTTCTTGCATATTGCTCATTATTCTTTGTTGCTCTCCACTGTTCTTTCCCGGGCTTTTGAGAAAATTATTTGCTGTAGTGTGGAGAGTGCTGAAGGCAATTAGCATGGTTTGCCGTGGATCTTTTATGTTTATTATTATAATGATTGTGGATAGACGTTTAAGTTCTCGCGAATTCTTGTCAGGTATTATCGTATCAGATGCTACACATACACTTCATTCATATCTTTCTTCTTAGATATCTCTCGGTCGGGCGAAGCATCAAGATATTAAAACACATACTCACAAGCAGGGAAATAAAACCTTCACATCACCTTATCTAACAACTATGCTATGTGACGAAAAAGTTGTTACAGTTCATCTAGTCAACAACCTGTGTTCAATTCAAGAGTACAGATTCAAATCTTCGGAAAAAGCATTGCGTTTACCTATCCATTTAACTCATGCAGTCATCAGTTTCCTTAGCTTTTTTCATTTTTTGTTAAATAAACTTGTTGAAAAAACTCTTTCTGAGAATTCTGTTCTACCGACAATGTAACATTGGATACAGTCATTGATAATAATAGTCGGCTCAGTACCCTGCAAACTTTGAGAGATGCATTGCCATAACCGATTCTTTTCTTATCAGTATTCCGCAAAACGATCCTGTTGTGGATGGCAGTAGCTTGTCTTTATATAGTGTGTTACTTCGAACATTACTACTGACTTCGATGAGATCCATCACTTTTAGACAGTAATCATGATCACTCCGTTAATTGCGCACGCATAATGAAATTTTAACTTCCAAGGTTCATTGGCCTGTTTGGGTTCATTTTAATGACAGCCTGGGTTATTTTCCTCCCGCCACTTTATTCATATTATCTTCAGAATTTTTAACACTTTTAGTTCTTGGAGTATTCTTAATATTTCTAGCACTTTATGTAGGGTGGTCTATCATATTTGTCTCCTTTACGTAAGGATGAAATGCATTGTGATATAAAATATTATTTTGTTAGCAGGATTATGTTTGATTCATTTATTAAGTCTTTTTTACTGAAGAATGTTGATGTTGAGGACTACGTTGTCGGTGAACGCGATATGAGACTTTCCATCTATTAAACTAGATGGCTCTTTGGCCAAACACGACTACTGCATCTATGAATTAATAATTTTGGGCCTGAAAGATACTTTAGTAAAACTGAATTTGTGGTTGCTACAGATTCAGACATATCCGATAATATTTGCTCCAAATAAACACGGGATTGATACAGTAGGAATAGGAGAATGTTAGAATGAATATCGTAAAGTTGTCAAGATGTATTTGTACAAACTAATGATTCATTTGGATTTGGATATCCGCCGATTTGAAGTTCCAAATATAATGAGTTTACTTGTTCTCATCTAGTTCAACTTTCTGTAAACTGCACTATGTCCGGTATTCCTAGTCAGTACAATAATTCGGATGCTTCTAATTATCATACAAACCCGACTTACTATAATACCTTAGTTTAAAATTCATCTCCGACAACCCCCTCAGCTAATCAACAATGATGAGTCAAAATATGACAGATGAAACTACTTGCTATTCATTTTTTATATTCTGTCATCTTTGAAACTTGCAGATCATGTTTGCCAATGGGACATAGGTTCAGGTCAGGATTAGTGTATCTATGCTAACCAAATGATAGACCTTGTGGCAAGCCCATTCGGCCATTGTATCATTTGTCTATTCATTGTAACTCAGACACTTAATTCATCATGTTAATTTCTGTGTGCATTTCAGACTCTTAATTCACTATGTAATTTCGGTGTGTATGGTTGGATGCATGTCTGTACATTAACCCTTAAGCTACCTTCCTATTGGTTGCAATGTGCAGGTAATCGATAATTTATTCACACCCGATTAACTCTCACAAATATATATGGATTTTTAACACACACACATACTCACTCACTTTGTTTCATCGTGTGCTTGCTCGCTGTACGCTTTACTAATCATTAACAATAAATTATCTCTACAACTGGTGTTCACGCTTCTCAATAATCTCGAGTAAATCCGTAATTCTACTAGGAGATTAAGCCTACCTTAAATCCTCAGTTAACGGGATATTATTTATTGGAGTCAGATATAGAGGACATTAGACTCAACAACTTAATCTAATCTTATGGACTTGCCCTGATCTTACTGCCTAATTTGTAATATTATACGCCAAAGTCGCATCATTGTTCATACTGATCAGTCTTATTGTGTTAATCAGCGATTGTTTGTAAGATAGTTTAAACTATGACGGGGTTGCTGAAATATCATGATCCAAGGTTTTCATACTTATTGACCCCTGTCAGTCACTCTATGATATATTTTTGTAAACAGATTCTGTCATTTGAATCAAGGTACTCAGACATTGCTCTATTCCTGGGTTAGAATTCTCGCAAAGTTGCGATTGCGGCCGTAAAGAAAAATCGGGCAATCATCTGACCAAAGGATTTTCCAGAGTAACCATGGTGACAGATTGGCGAGGGTCGACAAAAGAATGAACGACAATTTTTTTAATCCAAGCAATTAGGATTGCTGAATCATTTCTAAGATATTTTCTAACAAAATGAAACTGATACATGAATGGTCTTTGCATGATTAAATTTATCGATAAGTTGGTCTTTAATCCAAAGAGCTTGTTCTTTTACGCAACCTCTCTTCGAAAATCTAAAACCGGAGTTTCCCAACTCCTAGGTCCCAATGACCTGATCAACAACGACGGTGACGCTGCTACTCTCCTGGCTGAGCATTACTTTCGACATTTCAGGTGACTCACATGAACTGTATTCATTAAAGCTTCATCTGAGACTACACAGGATTTTCAGAAGTGAGCGGGAGGATAGACTTAATGTACCGGGAACTGCAGCACCCGAAAAGACACCTCACCTGGTCCGGATATGGTTCGTTCTGCTAAACTGAGGAAAACAGCTTCAGTGTTGTCAATACCGCTTAGCATGAGATTCTCACACTCGCTAAGCCGGAGTACATCACCGGAAATTTGGAAGCAGGTTCACATCACACCAATTTTCGAGGGAGGTCGACGCAGCGAAACTTCATGCTACCGACCGGTGGCCCATCTCTCTATACCCTTAAAAATTATGGAGTCCCTGATGTGCGATTGTCTACACGACTATTTGTTATCCATAAACTTATTTTCGCCTCAGAAACACAGTTTCAGAAAAGATCACTCTTGTATAATCAACCTGCAAACTGCGGTGGACAGATGGACAATCCTCCTTGATCACGAGGGCAATGTTGACGTTATTTACCTTGACTTCTCAAAAACTTTTGACAGGGTCAACCAAAAATGTCTTATCAATAAGCTCAAAAGATTAGGTATCAAATCACCTTTAATGGATTGGCTCACTTTACATTTAAAAAATCAACATTTCAAGATCAGGGTTAACTTCAACTTCTTTCAGGTTATGGAATACCCCAGTGGAATCCC